TATAAAAAGATTACAAAGACAAAAGAAAAAAAAAAAAAAATTAAAAAAGGGGGAAGATCCTTAGTGGGGCCTCCGAGAACCTGGTCTTCTGGAGGTAGTGGTGGTGTGGCGCGCCGTTTTTATGAGATTTCCATCGCGGTCTGGGGATTTGGGGGGGTCGGGGGAGTGGTGGGTTTCCTGCTGGGGCAGGCTGGGGCGAAGAAGCGGTGGGTCCCGTTGCAGTTGATGCACTTGGCGGGAGAGATTTCGCAGCAGTTTTCGAGAGATGCCGATGCTCCTTTGCACGAGGCAACTGGGCAACGGTGGTCTTGGAGCTTGTGGGGGAGGGTGTATAGGGGGCAGGCGACAGGGGACCTGCATCCCTGAGTGGCGTGGCCGAGTTTGCAGCAGTTCCTGCATTAGGTGGTGGAGGATGCTCGCCACATGACGTTGCAGCATCTGGGGTGGGAGAAGAGGCGGATGGTGGTTCCAATGGTTGCTGCCTCTTCCGCCGTAATGGAGACGATGACAGAGGTGGTGGCCTTGGAGGAGCGGAAGGTTTCGTCCGTGTTTAGGAAACGGACGGCAGAGGAAGTGATGCCAAGGGCTAGTTTAAGCGCGGAGGTTAGGATCTCCTCTAGGCATTCCTGGTTGGGAAGCTCGTAGAGGGGGACACCATGGATGGTGAGATCGACGTTGGTGGGAGCGGGGCGGAAGGTGGTGAAGGGGTTTTCTGGGGAGTCTACCTCCACGTTTAGGATCGTAGTGAGGGCCTCAAAGAAGGGTGTGTAGACCGTTGATGGGACGGTGGATGGAGCGGTAACAGAGACAGTGCCTCTGTTATTGATGGTAACGGTGAGGGAGGTGACGGGGGCGACTTGGTGGCTTCGGGCCAGGGCTTGGCCGAAGAGGTGGGGGAGGGTTGCCGACAGCCTTTCGGCATTGGCAATGGGACTGGGGGTTGTCCTGGTGGCGAAGAAGTGGCGGTGGGCAGATGGTAGGGGCTTCGCCTTCGGGGCGGATCCTGGGGCCGGGGCTGCGGTTGCCTTGGCTGCCTTCTTGCTGGCGGGGTTGGGTGTTAGTCGTTAGTTCTATCGACGGTGATGTCATATGGTAGCCTAGCGCCAAGACAATTGTAGCTCCCCACCTTCGCATCTCAGAGTCTCATTCCTTGGCACTGTCGCCTCGTCCTGCTATAGTACAATAGAGAATTTTAGCTACACTCAAAATCAACTATCGAAGGAACTTTCGAGGGAACTTTCGAGGCAAGCTAACCAGGATGCATAAGTAGCGTCAAATCAGGACCAATTACCAACCAGGACCTAATATTTGCACTGCGTAAATCTGACACATTTGAAGTATCACACTGCAAGCTGCGTGTTATAGGAAATACGAACACTGCTCCTGAGTCAAGGAACAAGGATAATACGAGTGATGGGTTGTGATGTGAGTACGGTCGGGTAACGAGGGAACAAGCATAGAAAGGTACCGAGGGGTGTGGGGGCACCGGGTGCAACCACACTAGTATTAGGCTGTTGTGAGGGCACGCTTACTATTGGGTGTCTCACCCGGAACGGAATAGAAGCGGGGTTTATGGCTGCAGGCCATTCTACTTAGGGAAGTAGCTCTAGGACAATAGCATGATACAGCTCGGTTACTGGCAATTGCGGGGTCTATGGTTACGTGTCAGAATTGGAATGGAGGAACGGAACTATGCGGGGGCGCTTTTCTACTGGGGTTATCTTCGGGTTGATTATCTTATTCTATTATTGTTATCTCTTTAGTATTAGAAAGCGGGCCTTGGCATAGGTTCCAATATGTATAAATAGGGAGGATTCTGCCTCGTCTTAGTGGCATTATCAGTCACTCAGCGAGCGGAATCCGGTTTACAATATTACAAGTTTAAAAGCTACAGAATTATCGCTTAGCATTGGCATTTCCCCAAACACTGCGAGGGTTAGGTGTCTTTATGCAATCATCCCGGTCATTTTCCCTCGAAAGTTCTCTCGATTGTTGATTTTGAGCATGGCTAAAATTCTCTAATCCCTTTATAAGGGTTTGGGTTATAAGGGTATTCGCCTTATAAGGGTAGGTGCTTGGGACCCTCAATGGGATTCGTAGGTACAAATTTGCTCCTCCTATAAAGGTACACACCCTATGAGGGTACGACTTCGCGCCACTTTTGTACCCTTGTAAGGAGATTGTACTGTATCATAAACGTTTTGCTTCTATCTCACGCTTCTCTAGGACTAGCATGTAGAAGATTCGCTGTATTTCGACAGATATCGTTGAAGTAAATGTACAAGACCACCAATCCCGGAAACTCCTCCCCTAAACCCTGTTTCACGCCATACCCGCACAACGAAACGGCCAAGACCACCAGTTCTCGAAGGAGGGGGGCGCCCAAATCCGCACTCCCAGCCCAATAGGCGAACAGCGGCGATGGGTGGCACAAACCTCCAACCCGCGGCCTCTCCCGGATCCGCACTGCTTACGCTGATTACTAAGCTATGACATACCCCCCGTACCAGTTAATAGCCCGTCTCCTACTCGCTACATTCGCCGCGGCTATTTCCCCTCTACCTAACTAGTACGAATCCGTCGCTGCCGGTATCTAGCCAATCTTGCTACCGCGGCACCCACACTCGCTATAAGCTTCGTACGTTAACACCACTGTTCTCGCTCCGCATGTTCCACGTGACGGCATCTATCACCGCGCGATGACTTCCCCAGCTAGTTTTCTCCGTTGCATGCGTTCCGCAATCGGCTTAACTCTGTGCGCGAGGCTATCTTGCCGGGATAGGCGGGGGGTGGTTGCCCTGGTGGTGGGGTTGGGGGTGCTGGAGATTGTGGGGATGCGACCGTTGGGTGGGGGGGGTCGGGTGAGGTGGTGGTGGCGTTAGGTAAGGATCTGCTAGCGCTGGTGCCAATGCTACGAGTGCGGGTACTCGCGCTGGGGGAGAAAATAAGTGTTGCAGCTGTTTACTCCCAGTGGTAGGCAGGTGCAGAACGTGGTGATCTGTATTACGGGTAGAAGAGTGCTGTGCCGGTTAGGATGTCAGTTAGGCCACGCTATCTGAAGTCATCGTCGCGGGGATGGCACATTGAGGGGGGGTGGGACAGGAGTGGAGTATGCATACAGAGAAAAGGCCCGCCGCACATTCTCAGGCGTGTGGCCTATGCCACGCCCTTCGACCCTCCACCCTCGACCCTCCACCGAGCAGTTCCATCCACAGTCTTATGATGTTGATATATAGTAATAATTGTTTTTTTTATTTTTTACAGATCATCGCCGAACAGCACTACCCCGCTCGATCCACTCACTCGGGAGCCCTGCGTGGTGGAAAGACCGAGTTTGAAGGTTTTACATCGGGAGAGTGGAGGCTGTAGACCACGTTAGTAGAAGGAAGCGTCGTCGGCATGATCGCGAGATAGCGCGGTACCGTGGATGATGGTGATGGAACAGTGGTCGTGGTTTGTCGTCGTGTCAACTGAATGGCTGTTGAGTTCGTCGCTGAGGAGCAGAGAATGAATAGATGGAGTCAGTATATTTGTGTGTCTGTGTGTAGGGGAAGGGAGAGGGATGCAGGTGGTGGGAGAGCCGGGGGATGTGTTCTTGGGGACAAAGATGCCAAGACCTCGCTTAGCGTTAGTCTTTCAGCCGTAAGTTTAGCCGCACCACTTCACAAGGCCGATGCATGCGGGTCCCTTGCTGTCTCGTACGAGATCGCCTGAGAATATTTTTTTCCTACTCCAAAATCAATTTGCTGCCCCGGATTTTGGGCTCTCCCGTACGAAATATCCTTAGAACCCCGGCAATCCGGCATCTCGAGTTGCGACTGTAATAGACATTCAATCACTGAAATTTCGACCTCCCTGGCCCCGGACGTACCTACAACTTGGATAAGAGATAAGAGGATCTGTTACTAAACGAAGGGCCACCTGGCAGTTTCCGCTCATATGCTTAAAGTGGGTAAAATGAGAATTGTTGATCGGCCCAATCATTAGGCACATGCGTAACCAAGAGCAATTCCCCGGCTGACTTGGTCTTAGTGCGCGGGTAAGCGATCAACCAATCAACCACCACTCCCCAATGTGTTCTCGAGATGTCAGGATCCCTTTGGTGGAGAGAATATGTCTGCATACACCTGCATATGTATGTACATGCATGCACGGAGAGATTGAGTTAGTAGCGAGTGAGCACTGCAGGTTGACTGCCCTGCTGTTGTTACGCAGTATCTCTGCGCACTTGAGTGTACGTGTGCACAAGGCTGAGCGATGATAAGAGCGAGGGCTCCTCCTTCTCATTCTTGGACTCACTTGAAAACACCATCTCGGCCTATTTCCTCATCATTCCTGGAGCGCGCGTATAAAATAGCTGGAAGCATAGTTAGAGCTCCGCTTACGGACAGATCTACGATAATTGGAAATACTTGTTCCTGATACTTTTTCCGGAGGTTATTTGGTATATCTTCCTACTTTCTTAAATCTTCTGAGCAGGCAAACTAACCAATTGCGATTTCCAAGTCTCCTTTTGCAAAAATTGAACACCAAACAGTCCTCCCCCGGCTGGTTTAGTGGTACCTTTCAAGCATAATACCTGAGACATACCTTCCATCACCGCGGATTGTTATAGGATAATTGAAAAGATCCCAACGTGTTTCCTTAGACACTAGGTAAGAGACATCCCCCGTCTCCTAAATAAGTTCAGAGCAAACAATATTAACTGATTTCCATTTTCTATAAGATAGTAGGTCGGACAACAAGTCAACATCTCTCGGATCTACACCGATATTGAAACAAACAAATTGCCATCCATTCAATCGAGTGGAACTTGTGAATTCCCCTCAACCAGGAAATATACAATCACCGGAACCACATACTCTCCCTGACAAGCTCAAGATCAAGCACTCGCCACACATTATCCACACGATTGAGCGGGCAGGAAACCTGACCGAATCTCGTCTACCCACTTCCCTGAAGGACTCAATATCAAACACACATCGCCAACCCATTCCATCATGGTACAACAGGGAAACAAGACTATGCCCGATGCCGGTCCCGACATATCTCTCCACGAAACAAGCACTTTAGATCCTATACAATCCTTTCTCAGCCGGCGTGATTCGGGGGATCCCGACCCATTTGAATACGGCGGAGATGCCTTCATGCAAGCTGTTCGAGACGGAGACATAGAAACCGTGACCGGTTTTATTAGGAAAACAGACAAGTTCAACCCATTCTTTGTGTGCGATCTACAGGATGCACTATTGGAGGCTGCAGCACAGGGCCGCAACGATATAGTACGACTCTTGCTGGATGAAGGTGTGACACTTGATTCGGTAAAGCTGTGTTACCGCTGGGATAGGGATGTCACCTTATCCCGGTACGAGAAAGGCTACCCGGAGAAACACTGTGGATGCAGAGGAACGGCACTGCAAGAAGCTTCAAGAATAGGGAGTCTAAGCCTAGTTGCTTTCTTATTGGAACGTGGGGCCGACCCGAACTTTGAGCTGATCCCCCATGTTGCAGAAACAGCTTTACAGCGTGCGTCTGGAGGTGGATACGCTGGGGTCGTAGCGGTTTTGATAGAAGCAGGCGCGAGGGTCAATGCCGAAGCTGCTCCTTATTTTGGGAGAACAGCGCTGCGGGCCGCGGCCGAGGGCGGGCATGCGGAGGTCGTAGCGAATCTGTTGAAGGCAGGCGCAGATGTCAACGCCCAACCTGCCCGCTATGGTGGTAGAACAGCGCTGCAGGCGGCAGCTGAGGGCGGGCATGCGGGGATCGTAGCGAGTCTGTTGAAGGCAGGCGCAGATGTCAACGCCCAACCTGTCCGCTATGGTGGTAGAACAGCGCTGCAGGCGGCAGCTGAGGGCGGGCATGCGGGGATCGTAGCGAGTCTGTTGACGGCAGGCGCAGATGTCAACGCCGATCCTGCTGATAATGGTGGTAGAACAGCGCTGCAAGCGGCCGCGGCGGGAGGGCATCTGGAGATTGTAGAGAGGTTGTTGACGGCAGGCGCAGATGTCAACGCCGAACCTGCTTTTTTTGGTGGCAGAACTGCTCTCCAGGCTGCGGCTGAAGAGGGGCACGCGGGGATCGTAGCGAATCTGTTGACGGCAGGCGCAGATGTCAACGCCCAACCTGCCCGCTATGGTGGTAGAACAGCGCTGCAGGCGGCAGCTGAGGGCGGGCATGCGGGGATGGTAGCGAGTCTGTTGGCGGCAGGCGCAGATGTCAACGCCGATCCTGCTGAATCTGGTGGTAGAACAGCGCTGCAAGCGGCCGCGGCGGGAGGGCATCTGGAGATTGTAGAGAGGTTTTTGACGGCAGGCGCAGATGTCAACGCCGAACCTGCTTTTTTTGGTGGCAGAACTGCTCTCCAGGCTGCGGCTGAAGAGGGGCACGCGGGGATCGTAGCGAGTCTGTTGACGGCAGGCGCAGATGTCAACGCCGAACTTGCTTGTCTTGGTAGAACAGCGCTGCAGGCGGCAGTTGAGGGCGGGCATGCGGGGATCGTAGCGAGTCTGTTGAAGGCAGGCGCAGATGTCAACGCCGAACCTGCTTGTCTTGGTGGTAGAACTGCTCTCCAGGCGGCAGCTGAGGGCGGGCATGCGGGGATCGTAGTGAGTCTGTTGACGGCACGCGCAGATGTCAACGCCAAACCTGCTCAGGATGGTGGTAGAACAGCGCTGCAGGCGGCAGCTGAGGGCGGGCATGCGGGGATCGTAGCGAGTCTGTTGAAGGCACGCGCAGATGTCAACGCCGAACCTGCTTATGGTCGTGGCAGAACTGCTCTCCAGGCTGCGGCTGAAGAGGGGCACGCGGAGATCGTAGCGAGTCTGTTGACGGCACGCGCAGGTGTCAACGCCGAACCTGCTTATGGTCGTGGCAGAACTGCTCTCCAGGCTGCGGCTGAAGAGGGGCACGCGGAGATCGTAGCGAGTCTGTTGACGGCAGGCGCATATGTCAATGCCAAACCTGCTCCTGATGGTGCTAGAACAGCGTTGCAGGCGGCAGCTGAGGGTGGGCATGCGGGGATCGTAACGAGTCTATTGGCGGCAGGAGCAGATGTCAACGCCGCTCCTGCTCGCAGTTCCGGTACAACAGCCCTACAGGCGGCAACTGAAGGGGGGCATGTCAAGATTGTAGCCAATCTCCTATCACTAGGTACCGTTATCCATGCCCAGCCTGTCGTGCCTCTTACTAAGATCGCGGTGTGGGTAGGACCAAGCAAGAGGCATGTTGAAGCCCTTGACGCTTCGCCTGACACGGATTCACAGGTCCAGCAACTTTCAGTTCTGAAAGATAACCTCTCAGCTGTTGATCCAGACAAATGTCTAATCTGGAGCATTGCACAACCCAAGGTCCTTCAGCTCTTACTGCACGCTGGAATGGACACCTCTGTCTTATCTACGGACGGCTCAAGTCCTTTGCACTGTTCCGTGAAGCAAAAAAACATTCGCTCCGCCGGGCTTCTCCTACTCTCTGGAGTCAAAACAAATATCCGCGACCATGATAATCTTACTCCTTTTGATCTTTTACTAGGAAGTCAGACATTCTTTCGACCACAATGTTTACGGATCTTCCTATGGCTAGGCTGTGAGATCAGAGGTCGTCCAATCCAATTATGGCACGAAGCATATAACCAACCCGCACCCAAGCATTTCTTAACCCTAACCGCTCTACAAATTCCGCATTCAAGTAGGATTCACGTCCTTTCCAAGGGACAGACACATCCTGCTACCAATGGTGAGCGGCTTCAGTCAGGTAAATTGGGAAAGACGTCAATTCAAATTACATCTTCCGACGACCTACCTGACGTGGAATGGGGTGATCGTAGGAGTCTTCATCAGTGCGTATTGATTCACTCGAGGGCAATGCAATCCTGAAGTCGTACTAAGCCTATTAATAGTTCAGGAAGAGATCTTGAAGAAATATTGCGAAAGCCTAGGCAGATAGTGGTAAATACGTATGAAAGACAGTTCTATGCGGTGGTAGATGTACGGACCGAAAAGAAGGCAACATGTATGAGACAGTGGGGATGGTGTCGGGTAATGAGTCGAACCATATATAAAGACCAGGTCGGAATCGGCCTTCCCTCTCATCTAAAAATGGATACCACAGAGTTGGCTGGAGGTTAGTTCTATGTAACCGGTTTCTCTTGGTAGTACTGACTTAATCTATAGCATTTTTAACCTGCTCTGTATCATGTGATTACCTGATCCAAATTGGTGGACAGGGCAAGAAACCCGACGACCTGGCCAACGCATTCAAAGTAACCGCAAAGAAAAGCACAATATCCTGGGTCATGCAAAAGCCGGGCACAAAAAAAGACCAAGACTTTAGACCTATACTACGCACAATAGATCTCGTCAGTACTTTAGATATAGGGTGGGTGCCAGAGGACGCTGTCGATTTCTTGAACTCCTACATAGTTGGTTTACACAAGAAATGGAGGATCCTCCTTGAGGAAGCAGACATACATCTAGATAATAGCGTAAGCCCAAGATCTTCTTCGAATTGAGACAATTGTGCATGGCCTATATGCAATGCAAGATATTGACCTTTATACGAGCTAATCCTGGTGTTATTATACAGAGAAAGATACTTTTAAAGAAACAGGGGAAAAGCGCAGGATTTATTGAGGTCCTCCTGCTGGATGCTCAAACATGGAGCGAATCCCGTTCTCTGTTGCAGACCCAGGTGCGAACTGCGAGGGATATCTTAACCGACTTCCTCGAAACGAAATATCTGCAAGATGAGATTGTCGATGCTGTAGCTGCGCTGTTCAAGCTTGCAGAGGCAATTAACAAGATGGAAGCGGAGGTACTAAAGGAGATCAAGGATTTGGATGATAAAACGCAGAAGATGATCGAACTTGTAGGTTTCATACGCCTAGAAACCGTCATTAGCCTTTCTCCTTGATCTAACGCTGGCATGAATTCTGTTTAGGAGTTCAATCTGGTCTCGATTTATGAAAGTCGAACCTCAAAGGAGATGGGTATGAGTATGAAGCGGCTGAGTTGGATCACGGTACTATATGCTCCTCTTTCCTGTAAAACATCCAAACTAACCTACTGCAGTTTACGTTCTTACCATTGATGTTTGTCACGGTAATCGATCACCTCGCTGATGTACTTCACTACCCTTAAATAAGGTCTAACTGTGTTCTTTATACCATAGTCGCTGTTTGGGATGAATATAAATATCATAAATGGTGGGCCCAAGTGGACATGGGTCATCATTCTTGTGGTGTGTTTGTTTACTGTCGTGATATCGATCTGGGGTTTATTAAAGTGCTTCCCTGTAAGTATGCCCATTCCTCTAGTTTCTCTTAATTAATCATATTTTTAGATCGATGAATGGATCCAAGAGCATAGAGAACAAGTAAACACCGCAAACCTCAAAGGCAATACCCATCCTACTAAGTCGTACGGATGGGGTTTTTGGCAGAAGGAAGCAGGTATGGAGGATCTGGCATCAGGAGGCATTCTAACTAAGGAACAGGTGAACACTGCAAACCTAAAGGGGAACACGCATCCAAAGTCATACGGATGGGGTTTCTGGCGGAACGAAGCATATAATGAGGATCTAGAATCAGGAGGCACATTTCAGTTCACCCGTCCCGAGAGGAGATGGACCTCGAAGTTGAAAGATCATTAGGATATGAGTTGTCATTTACGGGCAAGGTCTGTAAGGAGAATTTTTTTGATTTAATTCATTAACTGCATGCAACCTTACAGTTATGGCAATATCGCACTTCTGTAAGGGGAATAATGAGATGGAGAATGGATGAGAATGGAATGCTTTGATTATGTTTCTTAAATATACGTTTCAAAGATATATATTACGGAGTGGTTTTGCCTGTCTTGAGACTTGACCTTACACCTAAAACAGGTTCCGGAGATTTATGGCAATTTGACAACGTCGCTTATTTACCACTGGATCTGGAATCCGGCGCGGGATACAATGGGGGTCGCGCATCGGGGGTAAATATACACTCCGTTCTCACAGCATTTGGAGAGATCACTTTTAGTATTAGCTCTCCCGGTTGTGCCAATTGATGGCCAGAAATCCCCAGTAGCCACTAGCTATGGGCCATTGATAGCACGACGGTGGTAGACATGTGATCTGGCGTCAGTCACAGAGTATCACTCGGACTCTGGACTGCCCTCTGGACTTTTTTTTTTTTTTAATTCATTAATTGCATGCAATCTCACAGTTATAAAAATTGTGCCCGATGGACTGGATCTACTGATTAGTTCTTTGTTAGCGCTGTGAACGTGTGCTTACTGATCAATTGCATGACAGTCTTCTACGGTCATGATATATAACGGTCTCTCACCAGATTTCAACTCCAGGCACCAATCTCGCTCGGCAGAAGTCTCTAGCGGGGGTGGAGGTGTGTCAGTACGTACACGACCCATACTAAATGTCGTGTAAAAGGCGTTAACTGACGCAATCTCTGGGTAAAGGTATGCATGTCTCTTTCTCGACACTTTCCCGGTGTTTCCCGTCCTCCGCCGGAAAAAGGCGCGTTTTTTGATGAGGTGAAGCCCTTTCTGTGGATCGCAAGATAGTCGAGTCCCCAAACGAATATTTAAATAGGGTCACCGAATGGTAGCATGTATCCATGGGCTTGTAACAGTCTGTAGCGGGTGAGGAAATGCTAGTGATGGGCATGAGACAAAACATGGCGAGACCTTGTCTCGAAATTTTGGACAAAACAAGACGAGACCATTGCAAGTGCAATATGCAAGATCTCGAGACCATTTTACAAAAGCCTCGAGACTTTATTTTTAAGCTAAAAATATGTTTATTTTCATTAATTTCAGCCATGAGTTTGAACTAATAACCCAAACCCTGTTAAAGTCCCATAACTATGAATTGGTGGCGCTATCCAGAGGTTTTGATAGGCCTCAGGTTTATATGGGCCGGCCCGGGATTCGGCCTTCCAGGCCAGGCTTGGGCCAGGGTATCTGAAGTCGGGCCAGGCCGGGTCCTAAGGCGATTGAGGCCCGGGCTTTATGGGTTATTCATATGGGCTGAAATGATGCATATTTCAAGAATATCCATCATTTTCAATCCTCATTTCACTCTATGAAAAGAAAATCTTCGAATAAATATGAGATTTTACCACAATAAGCAGTCAAATATACTTTCTTAGAATTATATGAATCATCAAAATATCCCGGAATTAGGCCCGCATATATGGGCCAGGCCAGGCCCCGGCTGGGTTTTCTGGGCTTGGGCCAGTCCAAGCATGTTTCGGGCCCGGGCTGGCCTATTAAAACCTCTGGCGCTATCCCTTTTTGAAATTCTCACTATGAAGGCATCTATGTCGTTTTAGGCGGAAAATATCTGTGAGTACAAAGTCCCGCGAGTTCGGCAAGACCGATCGACCCTTAGGTATTGGCAATTACAAAACATGAACTCTAACATTGCAAGACAAGATAAGACTATGCTCTAATTTCGTCTAGTCTTGTATTGTGCTCATCACTAAGAAATGCATCAATCTTGACATTTCGCATACAAAATGTCGTGTAAAGGGCATTATTTGATGGTAAAAGCATTACTGTCTCTTTACCGACACCTTTACTAATGCCTCTTTCAGGAATCAGGAAAGGCATCAGTAAAGTCGTAAAAAAAATAACTTTCCGATGTTTTCCGTTTTCCGCCGGGGGGGGGTCAAGGTTTTCCGATGAAGCCGTTTCTTTGGATCTCAAGATAGACCTGTCCTCAAAGATAATATTTCAGTGGGGTTGTCAAATGGTGTCAGCCATCAATCTGCTTGTAACGGTTGGGAAATACAATTTAATTTTAGTGGATCCATTGTACGGCATTTACATTCAAGCAATCCTGGCTTGATGCTTCTGGTATAACAGTAGGATGCCCGGCCCTGTGACGATTCGTTCCATTCGCGATGCCATTAAGCGGCCAATCATGTGAATGATCACCGGTTGGCAAAGGTGTAGAAAGAAAGTCAGCAAAGTGGCCTATAAAGGCATCAGTAAAGACGTTGCTAAAGTCATTAAAAAATCGTCTGTAAACTCGTCCAGTTTCCCTTAAAACGACTTCCCCTCCGCCCGAATATTGACATTGCCAAGGGAGATATAATAATTTCCCGACGACTTTTCTGGGTGTTTTTGGTGTTTTCTGGGCGCGCGTTTCCATGCACCCTAGAGAGTTGGGAACAGAATTAAGGATTGGGAGACCTATTCTTGGGCATATATACATGCTTTGCGAGCCTGGTGTGATAATGTGATGCCTTCTGATGATCCGTTGATTCGGCGATGGCCGCGTTCAGTTACGTGAAGCATCACCGGTGGCCAAAACCGGCCCCCAAAGAATAAAAGAAAATTGTAAGGCTATTGGAAAAGCCACCCAAATTCTCTTACAATGACGTCCCCTCCAGCTGAACATTGACATTCCCGAGCGAGAATCGAGACTCGAAAAACGAGACAACTTTGCTTGATATTTGAGTACGTACCCCTAAGACAAAATACACATTCTCCTCTTTCTGCGCCGGGAATCAGTGTCGAATATGCAATAGTTGGTAGACCGTATCCCCCACCCCCGCAATACTCAACACCTCTCACACAACCCTATCTTCAGTAGCTCAAGTCTTTTTCATTTCCCTGACTACATATCTAAACAGCGCAGCTTGTTCAGGGCCGTTTCGTATTAGTGGAAGTACAGTCTGCATCCATACACCAAAGTAATAAAGGGGCCGGGATCGTTGTCGAACCATCTTGAGGGTAGTAAGACCAGGTGTATAGTATAGATATATGCCCGTAAGCGTCATTGCGAAAGAAAGCACCGATCTTTACATATCCATAGACAGTTGACTTTGTAAATAGCAGTAGTTTACTCATTCGCCGCCGGACGTGGCAGGGCACTTGTATGGGGTGTGTACTACAAAGTCATACTCTGCGCTTTCGGTTTCCTCCCACCATTCTACGACACCGCTTGTCTATTGGTGCCTCACGCGGGGATGGGTGTCAGGCGGCTGATCATTTCCCCCGTAACCCTAACCCAAGAGGAACCCTAACCCACCACAACTCAATGCCATGCTGTTTGATCGTCGTCGCCACATTGTGTAGTCTGCGTTAGAGCACTACAAAGCCAATAGAAATACCTGCTGCTGCCACGTTCTAACAAAGTTAAGCCCTACTGAGCATATCGACTCGTGGAATGGAACTGGTCAAGGTCTTGGCGGAAGTGAGGGTTAGGGTTGGTCGTTGGGGACGTTTGCATCGCGGTTGATTGTATTTTTTCTTGTGAAGGGAATAATAGAAACTGGTGTCGAGAATATAAAACAGAGTAGGTGGGCCGTATAGGTGTCTGATATCCTGCAGTTTTACTCGCGACGTGGGTCTCGGTATCACCCAGCTCTCTGCCCCGGAATCTCTTGGCAACTCCAGATACAGCACAGGTACAGAGTTTACGATGTACCTGTTGTATCCCCTTACCTCTTTAAACCCTGCCCTGTCTCCCCCACCGCGAGCCCCACCCGGAGCCCGCACCCCCGATACCCTCTCCACGTACGGCGCGGATCATACGCCATCACTCGCCTTACAACCCCCGCGTAAGCCCACCCGCCACCGCCGCCACGCCCGCCAAACGGCGGTCCTGTCCTGCCACTGGACCTTGGCATTGCACAAACCCCCCAGGATCCCCCCTTCCTACACGGGCAGAGCCATTCCCCCCCCCCCCTCACCCGCGTTGCGGTGAGGTGTTTCCGCGGGCAGGGTGAGTGGATGTCGCTGTCTGCTCCGTGCAGTCTGCCGGTTGGTACGCTGGATGCGCTTAGTACTGCTGCGGCTCGACAGTTCCTGGATGCGCGGTGGATGCGCGCGCTAGTGGTGCAGAGTGTTCTTGTAGCGCTGAGTGCGGTCTGTGTCCGGATAGAGGAGCTTGCCCGCGCACCACGAACAACGAAGCGGCGGGCGGGCGTAGTGGTGCGGAGCTGCTAGATTGGTTCGACAGCTGGTCAATCGTACCGCCCGCACCCACCCCGGTGCGGTTCTCGGTTGTGGAGGGCGGGGCGGGGTAGGTGGCGGATGTGTCTGGGATGCGTGGGACGGGGTATTTTCAGCGTTGTGGCTTTGGGGGGTTGGATGTGGTGTGGTGCTGACTGAGGCGGCTGGCGGGGCGGCGTGCTGTGCCTTGGCAGTGGGGGGTTGCGCGGTGTCTCTTTGCCACTTCCGCGAAGGCGGTAATATCGGCGTTGCGCTTGCGGGCTTGCGGCGCGAATGGCTGTCGGTTGTCTTGACTTGCGGCTGGGGTGAGTTGCGCTGCCACCAAACGATCAGAGCGGCTTACCACTAGGCAGGAGTGGTCTCTCGGATGTTCTGGCGGGCATGTTTGCGTGTTTGCGTGTTTGCGTGTTTGCGTGTTTGTTTGGCGGTGAAGGAATCTAGATGTTACAAGTCTGCTCTGTTTGTGCAGTTCTGTGGGCTTCGATGGCAGGTTTGTATGTTCGCTGGCTCGCTGGAGACCTCTGCAGCCGTGTTTGCTCCTCCGGCAGCTTCGAGATGGATGTTTGGCCGTCTCTCGGACATTCGAGGCTCTTCTTTGCGCGTTTGCTTCATCTCCAGAAGCTTCTGTACCTATCTTTCCTTGTTCCTTGAACATTCGAGGCGCATGTTGGCCTCTCTGGAATCTTCCATATAGCTGTTTGCCAGCTTCTCCGCCATTCCAGGCGCATGTTTGCTCCCTCTAGAAGCGTCCAGACACTTGTTTGCCCGCTTTGGCCGCCCGCCAAGCACCAAACCCTATGTTTGCCCCCGCCAAGCCCTATTTTGGCCGACCCGTAGCCCCAAACCCTAATTCAAGTGGAATTGGATTTTCGGGGGTTTGGGGGAGTATATATACAGCCCGTCCTCCCTTCTTCCTCTTCACTTCACCTGACAGCGAGGTTTTCAAACCTGACCTCTACCTTACTAGGTGCTTCATGGGAGCGAGTGGAAGAGATGGATCGGAGGAGTGAGGTAAGTGTTCCGATCACCAACTTGGAGATTATATGCTAACGTTGATTGATAGGGATAGGACCTCTTGATTGACAGGTAAGGTTCGTGTTCGAGCATCGATCAGCTCGACAGGCGTCCTCCGAGGACAGGCTTTACTTTGTCATTATTATTTCTTAATATTTCTGCTCGACCGGCGCTCTCTGAGGGCAGGCTTCCTTTCCTCTTTATCTTTAATCTCTGAAGAGTTATGCTCGACCGGCACCTTGAACAGGTAGGCTTTCCTTATTTTACGTTTTAAGAGAACTCCTGCTCGACCGGCACCTGTAAAAAGGTAGGCTTTCTTTACTCTCCTTTCCTAGAACTCTGCTATTTCATCTGCTCGACCAGCGCCTATAAAAGGTAGGCTTTCTTTACTCTCACTTTCCTAGAACGCTTCAATTCCATCTGCTCGACCGGTGCCTATAAAAAGGCAGGCTTTCTTTTGCTCTCCCTTTCCTAGAACTCTCCACTTCCATCTGCTCGACCGACGCCTATACAAAGGCAGGCTTTCCTAAACCTTCTGCTCGACCAACGCCTATAAAAAGGTAGGCTTTCTTTACTTCCCCTTTCCTAGAACTCTTCTATTTCATCTGCTCGACCGGCGCCTAGAAAAGGGCAGGCTTTCTTAAAAACTCCACTTTCTTCTGCTCGACCAGCGCTTATAAAAAGGCAGGCTTTCCTAGAATTCCGCTTTCATCTGGTCGACGAGTGCCTATAAAAAGGTAGGCTTTCTTTGCTGTCCCTTTCTCAGAACCTTCCCATTTCATCTGCTTGACCGGCCCTTGTAAAAAGGCAGGCTTTCTTTACTCTCCCTTTCCTAGAACTCTCCGCTTTTATCTGCTCGACCGGCGCCTATAGAAAGGCAGGCTTTCCCAAAACTCCTGCTCGACCAGCGCCTATAAAGAGGTAGGCTTTCCTTACTCTCACTTTCCTAGATCTCTTCTGCTCGACCGGCGCCTATACAAAGGCAGGCTTTCTTAAGAGCCTTCCGCTTTCACCTGCTCGACCGGTGCCTATAAAAAGGTAGGCTTTCCTAAAACTCCTGCTCGACCAGCACCTATAAAAAGGTAGGCTTTCCTTACTCTCCCGTTCCTAGAACTCTTCTGCTCGACCAGTATCTATAAAATGGTAGGCTTTCTTTACTCTAACTTTCCTAGAACTCTCCTATTTCATCTGCTCGACCGGTGCCTAGAGAAAGGCAGGCTTTCATAGAACTCCGCTTTCTTCTGCTTGACCGGCGCTTATAAAAAGGTAGGCTTTCCTAGAAGACCTTTGCTCGACCGGCACCTATCAAAAGGGAGGCTTTGCTAGATCTCCTTGTTTTCCTAGTATTCCCTCATTTCTTTGAACACTCCTCTTCTGTGAACTTTATCTCGACCGGCGCCTGTAAGAAGGCAGGCTTTACTTTCTAGATCTCCTATCCTTAGTTTCAAAATCTATTAGCTCGACCGACACCCTCCGAGGGTAGGCTTTTCTGAAGTATCCTGTTCCCTAGAACACAACTATCTCCTGCGGTTCGTCTATTTCCTCAAACTCTTTTAGCTCCTGGGCTCTTCTATCTCCTAGACTATTTCCACTCGACCGGCGCCTATAAACAGGTAGGCTTTCTTTATTCTCCTATTTCCGAAATCTCTAGTCTTTCCTTGAAATCTCCTCATTCCTAGAACTACCATGTCCGACCAACACCCTCCAAGCGCAGGCTTTCTTTTCTCTACCTTTTTGTACAACTCCACTCTTCCTAGATCTCACCTCTTTCGTTGGACTGCTCTGCTTGACCGGAGCCCACAACAGGCACGCTTTTCTATCACTCCCGCATTTCTTAGAACTCTCATCTTTCCTTAATCTCAGTTCGACCGGCGCCTGTAGAAAGGCAGGCGTTTCTAAAACCTTTCAATTTCGTAGAAAGCCTTTGCGCGACCGGCGCCCTCCTAGGGTAGGCTTCCCTGGAACTATCCTCTTCTCTAGAACTCTCCTTCTTCTTAGAACCCTCTTAGAACTCTTTTTATCTCCTAAAAGTCTTCCACTCGACCGGTGCCTATATAATGGTAGGCTTTCCTAGACATGTTCTGATCGACCGGCACCAGAATATATAGGCTTTCTTTACCCTCATATTTCCTAGAATGTTCCTGTTCCCTGGAACTGTCCTCTTTCCTAGATCATCTTTCCTAGGAACATCATCGTTCCACAAGCTCTACCTCGACCGGCACCTATAAAAAGGTAGGCTTTCTAATTTACTACCTATTTCCTAATTCTTATGCCCGACCGGCTCCTATCGAAAGGCAGGCTTCCCTTACTCTCCTAGTCCCTAGAGTTCCAGCTCGCCCGGCGCCCAGCAAAAGGCAGGCCTTCCTTGCTATACATTTCCTTCAATACTTGCTCGACCGGCGCCCATAAAAGGGTAGGCTTCATTTCCTTCGCTGATTTCCATCTATACTTGCTCGACCGGCGCCTATAAAAGGGTAGGCTTTCTTTAATCCCATGTTCCCAGAACTCTGATATCTTTCTAGAACTCTCCTATTTCCTAGAGTTACACCTCGGCCGGCGCCCATAAAAAGGCATGCTTTCCTCATTATCCTATTTCCTAGGACTATCATTATTTTCTAAAACTCCCCAATTTCATAGATCCTGTCTGCTCAACCGATGACCGGCGCCTAAAAAGTAGTCTCCCTCTACTACCATCTTTCCTAGCTACTCTATAAATAGGCAGCCTCTCTTTACTCTCCGCAACCCCTCTTTGTTGGAACTCTCCTAGAACTCCAGCTCGACCGGCGCTATTATAAGGCAGGCTTTCAAGTTTACTCCCTATCTCCTTAGCTTTATGCTCGACCGGCACCTTCCTTTAGAAGGACAAGCTTTCCTTACTCTCACAGTTCCTGGAGTTCCAGCTCGTCCGGCACCTATCAAAGGCAGGCTTCACTTTACTCACTGATTTCTTTGTAGATCCGCTCGACCGGTACCTATCAAAGGTAGGCTTTCTTTACCTCTCTTTCCTAGAACTCTAGCTCGACCGGCACCCTCCGAAGACAGTCTTCTCTCCTTTCTTACTGTTTCGTAATACCCTTGCTCGAGTTGCGCTTTCCAAACGCAGGATTTCTTTACTCTCATAGTTTTCACAGTTCCAGCTCGACAGGGCATTAAAACGGTAGGCTTGCTCTACGTCCTATTTCCTTAAGCCTCTGCCCGACCAGCGCCTACTCAAAGGCAGGCTTCCTTTACTCTTCTTTATTCTCGAATTTCTTATTTTGTTGAACTTCTTCTCGATCGGTGCCCATAAAGAGTCACCTTTCGAATGGCAGGCTTTACTTTATCCTATCATATTTCCCGATATATCTTCTCGAGCGGGAACCAGATTGGATAGGCTTTCTTTTTCTGAAACCGTTCTTAAGATATCAGCTCGACCGGCATCCTCCTGAGACAGTGTTCACCGTCTCCTTTCATTTTCTCTTCCTAATTTACCACTCGACCGCCATCAATAAACAGACAGCTTTGTTTTCTCACCTTCATCCCACCCGCGCTACACCACCGACAACTTTCAAAAGGCAGGCTTTCTTTAATTTCAGTTCTCCAAATATATTCGATTTTCCCTGCTCGACCAGCGCCTATAAAAAGGTAGCTATACGCTTTGCTAGATATTTCCTATTTCCTAGAACTCGTTGCTTGAGCGATACCCTCCGGGGTAGTGTTAAGTCTCTGTTCTGATCCGTTGACCAAGACGGTGATTTGGGCAAGTGCGCGCACAATTCGTCAAGATTGATGGATAGGGCGAACCTGTGAGAAGGCCCATATTAAGATGACGGGGTTAGACTACTCAATAAGAAGAGCTCTGGTTGTGCCTTTCATCAAGTGAACACCAATGGTGTTCGGGTTTCACTGATCCCTAAAGGATATGGTAAAGTATAATTCATTGAGAGGAGATCCTAAGCTTAACATAAACAATATTCGAGTAGCAAGAACAGTCAATCGATCCCCCAGTACCTATGCATCCTCCAGTGCCTACTCTTCGCCAGCAGACATCCTTTTACGCTTCGGGACCTTTTCTTTTGTACCCTACTAGCCCTATCACTTCGACCCAAATCAACTCCTATATACATTAGTGATTATAGAACGAGAGAGTGAAATATAAGGGCTGTACCTTCAGAACTATGAATTAAGGTTGGCTCATTACGAGCTACTGTAATACTTTCATAGATCGGGCTTGAGACACCTTGTAACTGTGATTCGGGGAGATGATCCTGTTGTTTTGATCGATGGTAGTCGCAGTTGGGATAGTGGCGGGTTCGGTAGTATGAGTTGAATTAGGTATAACTGGAGTGATCAGAAATCGTTGAGGACTATCAAGTGTGATACCCTGATTCTCCGGAGCCCAATAATCATCTCTATCACTCTGATCACCTGGTGTGAGTTCCTCCAATCCCTCGAGTGTTTCAGGCATCTTATTTCCACAAATGCTTTTACCCCCAGCGTTGGAAAAATGGCAACGCTCTGAGCATGACTCATTTGACCTGATACAGATACAACGATTGCTCTTGCAAGCACCCCGATAGTCACATCCTATCTAACAGTATCAGTATCTTTCTTGATTGATTGCCGTATTACTTGTGTACAGTATTAATGGACAAATGAATGAAAGGGTTCAGAAGTTTCTTACCTGACTATCATTTAATCGAGCTGCAAGACAGGTAGCTGTACCCAGACCAATCCAACGATTGGTGTTGTTTTCTGGGATTGATATATCAATGGTATCAGGTAGCGTCTCAATGTCTTTGGCAATGAATGTATTTGCCAACACACCGTACTTGGTTTTTACCTGATACCTATTTGGGTGCGGTTTATAATGAATCAACCCAAAGAGACGACGAGGGTGTGTTGGCCTCCAGTCTTTACTAGGAACTTGAACACTAACATGTTCTCTAATGTTGAAAACATCCTGATCATGCGTCTTGGAACTCTTGTCTACCATTTTCTGTCTGGCAGTTTCGGTATTCGCTCTGACCTCAACCAACATCTGATCATGATTTGACAGAACTGGGTCCATAGGAATGTTTTCGGGAACTGGTATCTACTAGAGATCATCAGATTGTGGATTGAATATGATAGGAGGGGGTCCTTGCATTATCAACCTCTATCTCGACTAATTCATATTGGACTAAAGCTTGAGGTCTTTCATTCGGTAGACCACGATCGTCTGGATTCATTCTTTGCTTGAACACTACCTCGTATGGTGTCCTACGCGTAGTACTATGATATTGGTTATTCATAGACAGCAGAACCTCCGGAATCGCCGCTACCCATGATGAGCATTGATTATCGCTGAGCCAAGCTCCAATCTTCTGCTTCAGTACGCTGTTCGCTTGCTCTATTAGTCCTTGAGTTTGTGGTTGGCGCGGTCTGCCATTGATAATCTGAATCCCATGTTCCCGTAGAAGACTGATAAGGGCATCTATTATACACTAGTCAGTTATGAATAAATAAATCAACCTATATTTTACATACCTTTGAATTCGGTTCAATTATCGCATCCTAGAGGCGGCCCAAAAAATATCATCCAATATACCACCACCTTTTTCACTTCTTCACTACTCTTAGTATGCATCGGGAAGGCAATAGAATACTTGCTAAAGTGATCACCTGAGTGACATATCCATTTGTATGAACCATGGGGATCACCCCGCATATCAATCAAATCGATTTGTACAAGTTCGAAGAGAGTATTCATTACCAAAGGTTGTAATGGGGTGTAGGATTTGCAAACTATTTTGGTAATACATGTTGAACAATGACTGAGTAACTATGCTACCTCAGCTCGAACAATTCCATAGTATCTGTTCTTGATGTTCTTGTATATCTTGTCGATACCCGGATGTTGATTGCTGCAATGTGCCGCTACAATCGCGTCAAATACCTCGTTGGGCCTGATAACATACCTGACACTATCAGCAACACCACGAATTCTTTATTGAACCTGAAAACATACCTGGCGCCATCAGTAGAACCATCGATACGTCTCTTAAATAGCTTGACATCACATAAAAAGAACTCCTTCTTAGCTCTGCTCTTGAAGTCATCCTCCCTGGCAGATTTCGCTGGTTTTGCGCGGTTCAAACAGAATGCAAACGGAAGTGAGTGTTCCGGTTCGGTGAGGTAAAACCTATTACGGTTCTCTGAACGAGAGTAATAGAGTTCAAAGGCAACACGTGCATTTGAGCTAAAGGGTGAATTGTGAATCGAAGAGCTGGAAGCCATTGAAACCTATGGAGAAAGGGTAAAGGTATAACTGTCATGAAGCTGCCACAGAGGACGGGGCTTTTTTGATATATAGTGGATTAGAGTATTCCAATTCCGTGGTGTGTACAAGCACTCGTACAGCTATACCACACCCGCTGGAGCTTCCCCAATGCATGTGCATGCCACTGCAACTCTGCCACACTCATCATAGCTCCCCAGCACGTGTGCATCGTATTGCAGTTCTACCAGCACCTGTGCACACCACTGGAGCTGTACCGCACACACTGGAGCTTCCCCAGTGCCTGTGCACGATGCTGGAGCTGTACCGCACCATCCAGAGTTATACCAGCATCTGTGTACGCCACTGAAGCTGTACCACACCCACTGGAGCTTAACCAGTACTTGTGCATGGCACTACAGCTATACCAGGGCCTGTGCACGCCACTGCAGCTATATCAGTGCCTGTGCATGCCAGTAGAGCTCCAGTAGTTGTGATATACCGGCACCCTTACAACTCCAGTGGCGTGCACAATGGCTGGTAGGGCTCCAGTGGATGTGGTACAGCTATAATAGGTGTGGTAAAGCTATAGCATTGTGCACAGATGCTGGAAAGCTCCAGTGGGTGTGATACTGCTCCAGCAGTGTGCACTTGTGCTGGCATAGCAGTGAGGGGTGTGGTACAGCTCCAACATTGTGTACAGGTATTGGGGAAGCTCCAGTGTATGTGGTACAGCTCCAGCATCGTGTACAAGCGCTGGAGAAGCTCCAGTGGGTGTGATACAGCTCCAGTGGCATGCACATGCGCTGGAGAAGCTCCAGTGTGTGTCGCCCACCGCCAGGGAATGGTCACGTTCCTCAATACCTCTCACCCTGGCAAGGTCCAGTGGAGGAACCCTGAAGCTCATTGTATTAGCGTTTTATCATTGATCCATTAGACACTATAGTAAGGAGAAAAATAGCTCACACTTCGGCGCCCTAATTGCTTCGGAAAACGCTCAAAGTTGTTTAGCAGTGGGGGGATCCTTTAGAAGCTCGATGATGACCGGAGTTATGGAGTCTGCCGGTGATGAAATGGTGAGCGCCAGTCTGCTGTTGCCATTCTGAATGAGAGAGAACTCTTCAATGTTATCTGGCGAGGCTACGACTGCCCACCAGTCGCATCTGATTCTGGACACGACGGTGTAGAGGTTAGGTTGCGGACAAAGGAAGCCCCCGTCAGCGCAGGTGATATGTGCAGAGCCAGTCGGACGGGCATGGTAGCGATATAGGTGTGTAGGTAGGGAGATTCAGAAAAGAAAAAGGAGACTGTAGGGGTGATACAATTACTCCAGAGGAAAAAGGCTAGGTAGGTGGATGACCTGTCAATCATGGCTGGGGCAGGTCTCACTTTCCTGTGAACCCGCAATGCCCGATATCGGTGATCATGAATCATGATTAATATAGCATGACTTCGGACTGGTTGACATCTGCATTATCTCCCTTAACTCTGAGGTGATGATGACATCGAATGAGGTTCAAGCAGCTCATGCTATTGTAAACATATAACGGAATCAACCGGCGCTTTAGAGCTCTTCTATGAGTACCGTGTCTATACCGCACTTACTGCAAGGGAGTGAACCGTCGGATGTCTATATGATCTCAGACCTGGTTGTATGGATTAGATGACCAGTGGGGGTTGCGTGAAGGGTACCGATACAGACAGACAATAGCAAGAAAACTTGATACGTAATTTTTAGGGTATGTGTTATGTCCCAGCGATGAATGCTCCCCATTCAGGAACGGTCGTGAATCGGACATCCTATTCACGAATGGAGTAGTAATTTAGCGCTCCAATCACGAACGCACTGTTATATCGGACAAGACTGGTAATTAGACATCAATTCCAGCTGCAAGGTCGGTGTCAATGTCAGTTTCTTGTTTATTCTCAAGTCACTTCAGAAATATCAGCAAAATATACAGCAGGCTGGAGGGAGTTTAGCAGAACTTTACAATATACTATGTATATTCCCAGATAAGTAGTGGTGCTTGAGGAATGCCTCTATGGAATATCCTCTACTGGTCTGGAGATGTTCTGGCTCAGAGATAATATACATGACCCGAGACCGGTCTACCAAGGCTTATATATCTGCCAACAGTGCGTAGTTGTTAGGCGTAGGTGTGGCATTCCTGACTGGTCGCTCTACTGGCTGACGCTCCGGTATAGGATTGCATTCCTGAATGGAGAGCGTTCGTCGCTGGGATGTAACATATGCAATCCAGCCGGAATAGTTTCTTATCCTGTTTCGTACACATGATCGTTTCTGCACACATAACAGGGCCCCACGAGACATCTTTCGGTGCGGATACCAGTGAGAAACTCGCTGATATCAATTTAGTCGTGTCTCGTCCTGTGCCTAGGAACAGTGGAGGAGGAAGAAATATGCATATACCTTTTCCCATAATATGTATTTCGCTCTTCGTCCTCGCCACCCCGAGAGCATGCATCCATGGTGGGTGGGTGGGTGAGCCATGCATCATTCCGAAGCTGGTCTTACTTGCACGTGAACGTCACGCAATACCCGCCAACGTTGACAACCCCAGTCAGGATGCAACAATCGATCTGTTACTGTTGGGGTTACCTCTTTATATGTCAAATCTAACAGTGGTAACTGGCTTCGATTTCAGACAACGCGGGTTAAATGAAACAGGTCACATTTTGAAACAATTGAGAACTGAAAAGGAACCAGGAAACAACTTCTTGTATTGAGCTCATAAATCGGCGACCGGTCCAGCACTCGCCCCTGATACCCTAGCGATAAACTAAAAAAGCTGAATAATATCTCCTCATGAACGTACAGCGGCTATCATCCCGCTACTACAGCAATGACCTCGTGGTGATGCTCATTCGCATCCTCCGATCTACCATTCCGGCATGTATCTCACCGTCCACATGCGCGGCGGGACATCATCCGCTGCCACCACCGCACGATACTTCTCAGTCTCTAGGTACACGCTTTCCCTTGTAGTCAATGCAAGGCCAGCCTCCCCCGCACGTAAGGCACCGGTATACACCGGCAGCTGGCTGGGGCTAATTCTGTCAGCTCATTCTCCATCCCACATCTCCTAGGCACTGAAGGTATTTACACACTTGATATTCCTCGTTCCATTGAAGCTCCAAACCTGCTCAGGGGTCATAGAACCTAGGTTCGCAAGAACAACGCTACGAATGGGACCCATGACTACACGGCGGGTGAGTGATCGCGTGTCGTTGCGGCTAAGGGTGAAATCGTTGGGCTTTTCTTGCAGAACGGTGATGCGCCACACCCCGCAGGGTTCGGTGGATATGACGGCGCCGGGGGTTCGGTAGTCGCACAGAGAGGCGGTGCCGGTGGTGATGAGGGCAACACCGTTGATGAGATTCATTGTGATGGAAGGTGGTAGATGTAGGTGGGAGTCGGTGTTTGTGGTGGTGTTTTTGTGGGAGTGCTTCCGGTGGACATGGGCTTTATATACATGATCACTAGTAGCTCAGCAACTGCGGCGGAGCAGCGAGAAATTGATCTCGCGTGGTGTACTACTTCGGAAACATGTCGTGAGGTTGGCCCGGTTTTCCATTAATATCAATATCTAGGGACCGGAGCAGAGAATACATGTGTAATCCCATAAGTGGTACCCGAAAACCATATCTTCGGAGACGTGGAAGTCACCTCGTCATGCTAAACCGATTAAGTTTCCGTCTTACAAAGATACTTACAAATTCTTACACCTTCAGGAGTGCCACTACTACCATACATATCCGCCTCGGCAGTGTCATGTCAAACAGCTTTCTTCTACGAAGAGTATCACCGCGCTCTTGTCTAATACTGCGGATTGCACAGCGCCGAGTTAACTTGAAGTTAAGTACTGCATTCCCGGTGTGCAACTGAGACATCAACGCAACGGTCACATGTGCCAGCATGCCAAATCTCTCCCAGTTCCATTCCCGCTGTCAACCGTACGACAAAATGCGACCAACTACCCCTGTACCTATCGGGAGCAAGTATCTCCGTTTCGTTACGAAATACAATGGAACGTTCTATCGGTAGTGTGTGAGGTTTAAATCGTACGTCCTTAACTTTTCCGGGCATCGGGAAGTGGCTCCCTCGCAGACAGGATGGTGGGATGACTCGTGGTCGGGACGGTGCATTACCGTCGAATGATTTGGAATCGGGTGATGACGTGTGATCAGTCCCGCGCGTGAGACATCATGATTTAGTGACGAGTGAGAGCGCATGAAGCGGCGAGTGACGGATTAAGACTCGCGAGGTGGGTTGATAGCGCGTAACTGTAAGGTTAAATAATAGTTTGTAATTTCTGAGTCAAGTGATAGATTACAGTAGAACCCAGTGATAACGTGTGAACTGTTCTAACCGATTGAGTGTGTGTGCTGGTATGACGAGTGATAGTCTGTGAGTAGGCGTCCGAGTGATATCTGGCGATCGTACTGAGTTAGGGTAGATGACTGCGTGAGGCTTCGTTTATGCCGATAAAGAAGCTGTTGTCGGCGGTGGGGATGAAAGTGAGTGAAAGCTTCTGACGGGCGGATTCCAGTAGTAGTGATAGCTTCAGCGGATTCGCAATCATCACCTGGCGGAAGGATTCTGGGTATTACTTACGTTTGTGTGGCCTTCCATGCAAACGTTGTGCATTTGCCAGCTGACTAGAATCCTCTCGGGCGCCGGATGTTTGCTTGTTTGCTTCATGGAGCTCGAACGAAGATGCTAGAGTATTTATGTTGGTGTTTCTATGTTTGCTTCCTCTCTGGAATTATCTAGTGGGTTCGATTCTTACCCGCCTGCCCGGCCTAGCCCTAGAAAACGAGCCTGTTTATCAAACCTGGGGTCTTTTTGGGGGTTTCAAGTTAATGTTTGCCTATTCCATGACGTTCTATGGTGATGTTCGCTTGTTCTCGAGCGCGGTAGAAGCCTCCAGAGCGAACGATTTCATTGTTTGCTAGTTTCCCTTAGTTTCTAGCGCTCTGTTTGCTACCTTTAGCGCCCGCCAAGTAACCCAACCCTAGGACTTTGGCCGCCGCTAGGCACCAAGCCCTAATTCGGAAGAATGCAATTTTTGGATTTCTAGGGAGTATATATACAGCCCTTCCCCTCCTCCTCCTCTTCACTTCACCAGCTCGACCAGCGCCCCAATAAGGTAGGCTTTCATAGAAGTCTCCTATTTCTTAAAGACTCTGCTCGACCGGCGCCCTCTTGGGCAGGCTTTCCTTATCTGCTATCTCCTAGAACTCTTTCCTAGAACTCTTCAGCTAGCTCGACCGGCGCCCTCCTAGGGTAGGCTCTGCTTATCTGCTATTTCCTAGAACTGCTGCTCGACCTGCGCCTTCCTGAGGCAGGCTTTCCTTGTCTCATATCTCCTATTTACTAAAGCTCCTCTGCTCGACCGGCACTTTAACAAGGCAGGCTTTCCTTTTTTGCTCTTTCCTATCTCCCAGTGATCTCTTGCTCCACCGGCGTGCTCCTAGGGTGGGCTTTCCTTGTCTGTAATTTCATAGAACTCTCATCCTAGAACTCTCCTATTTCCTAAATGTCCTGCTCGGCCAGCACCCTCATAGGGTAAGCTTCCCTTACCTACTATCTCCCATTTCCTGGAACCTTTCCACTCGACCAGTGTCTATAAAAAGTAGGCTTTCACAGGATTCTACACTTTCCTAGAACACCTCTACTGGACCGGTGCCTATAAAAAGGCAGGCTCTCCTTATCTCATATGTCCTAGTACTCTTTTGCTCGACCCGTGTTCGCAACGGTCTAGGGCACCCGCCGGTCTGCCGGCCGGGCCCTTCTTTCATATGAAGACCGGACCGGCTAGAGGATGTAGTCCGTCCGGGTCTTGAACTTGAGGGACTGCAAAGGACCGAAAGGGTCTGCGGGGCCCTGCACGAGATGCATGACGGCAGAGGACTACGGGCAACACCGGGGAACTGCAGTTGACGCCAAGGACTGCAGCCAATGCCAGCGGACTGCAGCCAATGCCAGCGGACTGCAGTCAACGCCAGAGGACTGTAGTCAACGCCGGAGCACGGCAGTAGATGCCAGCTGATGCCGGAGACTGTGGTCAACTCCAGTGGACTACACTCCACGGCGGGGGACTACAGTCAACGGCACAGGACTCCAGTCAACGGCGGTGGACTGCAGTCGATGGCAGGGGGACTGCGGTCCATGAGCAAAGCCTGCAGTCACCGGTGAATAATGTAGTCACCGGTGAATGACTGCAGAAAGCCATGTAAGACGGCGGGTGACGGCTTGTATGGCATGCTTCATGATATACCATTCAAAATTATGTCAGTTTAGAGTGCGGATGGATGGCTTCTACATGTGTGTAGTTCAACTGACTTGATACAGGTTACAGGATTACTCGAGTGTAAGGATGACTCTATATAAAAAGAATGATATCCCCGAGAAGCCACAATCGAATATCTCTATACAGTAAAGGCTACACTCTCTTCATGTCCCAATACTCTGATACCATTTTTGTTCGCCGGGGAGAAGCCTCTTCAAATCTCAGGCTATATCTGATACTCCTCCTTCGTCACCCCCTCAGTTTTCAACTGTTATCGAGCCAGATATATTAGAGAATATGGGTTATAGAATTGATTCAGATGCAGTATTTTCAGATGAGCAGAGTAATACTATACTGAGTTATTCGTCTGCGCTCTCGCAGTCTCAGATTCCGGGTATTTATCAGCCTAAGAACAAGAAGAGAAAGAGTTGGATTTAACGGCCAGAGAATGGGAGTGAGTATCATCAAGCTGGGGGGACGAGGTTGAGATGTGCATGCTGTAAGTAAATGAAGAAAGCAATCCGAATTTGATTATATAAAGCTGATCTGTAGTAGGCCCTCAAACCGGATCGAGCTCTGTTACATTTTCAGATTCTTCGACTAAAAATATGCTTGACCATGTCAAAGAGATACACAAATTCGATAAGAATGGTCCAATTTTGCTCCAACATGGGGAGAATCGAATCAAGGCCGTGTTTGGTAATGGTTTACCACGAATAGCTTTCAATCAAGATCTATTCAAACAACTGTTAATAAAATGGATCGTCACAAATCACATCAGCTTCAGACAAGTTGAGAACAAGTCGTTCCGCCTTCTATTGATGGATCTTTCTGCTTGTGTTAGTATACCTAAATTCCGGCTGTATTTTACCCATCTGACATGCCCGTTTCTATTGGTGATTCAGACTTCTTCATATACAGTGATAGGGCGTTGCCTTCCAAGGTCAGAAAACACGGTACGCTCCTGGATACTAACCGCCTTCAACGTCGCAAAGGAATCCTTGATGTCCCAATTGATTATGCTTGATACCACAATACATTACTCATTCGATCTCTGGACCTCACCAAACCACCGAGCATTTCTTGGTATTGTTGCCCATTGGGTTGATAAGGGAGGGGCTCTCAGATCAACAGTATTAGGGATGCAGCGATTTAAAGGTCGGCACACCGGGGAAAACCAGGTTTCTCATTTTTGGCGTGTGGTTTGTGACTATGGTATTATCCAACACATTGGATATTTCACGTTAGACAACGCCAGTAACAATGATACGACGATGCTAGAAATCAAATTACGTCTGCAGTCTATGAATATTGAGTTTGATCATATTGGACGTCGTTTACGTTTCTTTGGACATGTTATTAATATTGTGGTAAAAGCATTTCTTTGGGAAGATACGGCAGAGGCATTTGAGGAGGATATACAAAGCCTTCAAAACCGCCGGAAAGAGGAACAAGAGCTCATTGGATGGCGTCAAAAGGGACCGATGGGGAACCTATACAATATCATTACGTGTATAGGATGCAGTCCGCAAAGGCGGGAACCCTTTGAAGAGAAGGTACCTACGCTCAGTTCTATTGCTCATTATAAATACACAAACAAACTACGAGCTAAACTGTCATATAGGTAAAACTGTCAGACCCAGCTACGAATCCACTATCCTTGATACAGGGGAATGATACACGATGGAGTGGGGATTATGATTCAATTGTTCGAGCTTTCAAATTGAGAGAATCGATTGAGGATTTTGTTTCCGCCACCATTAGAAAGAACGTGGAGGGTGCAGGAGAGGAGAATATCAAAGCCCTTAAATGGGATGAGCTGAGTACTCAAGATTGGGATGAGCTTCGTGATATCATTGATATTCTAGGACCGTTCCGGAAATGGCAGCTCATATTGCAGGGAAAGACACATAACGGGGCACTGCATGACATTTTCCCGGCTATGGATGAGCTTCTCACTCATTTGGAGGACACCCGCACCCGGTACAAAGCAGAACTACCGGAAAATCAAACCAAGCATCCATTACCTCAATTAACAGTGCATGGTCGAGACTGAATTAGTAAGCCACATTGTCCTATTGCATATATGAATAACGCGTAATATCTCCCTCGCATGAAGACTTACTAACAATACCTGTACCAGGTACTACGACCTTACCGGTCCTACTCCTGTGCATATGAGTGCAATTGCACTCCATCCTGAAATGAAGCTGGATTATTTTGATGGTGAATGGGAAGACAAGCCTGAATGGATATCGAATGCGCACAATTCTTCGCGCAGACTTTGGGAAACTGAATACAAACATGGCTATATTAGAAAGAAATCGTCAACTCCGAATATTGATGAGGATGATGTGTCTGCAGCGGCGGCCCCTACTATAATCCATGATAGAGAGGTGGATGAATTGCCTATCTCGAAACGAAAGAAAAGAGCCCGTCTTGCAGGATCAAATCAGGACGAGTTTGAGCTTTTCCAGCCGCGAGACTGTGATGAGGATTTAACATTGGGTCCACTCCAATATTGGGTACAAAGAAATGAGCCAAGACAGAAGCAACGCGAAAGGATGGGCATTGAGATACATAGCATACCAGCAATGTCTGCTGACCCTGAACGGCTGTTCAGCAGGTACTACCTCTACCCCCTTCACCAGAGCTCGCTGACAATAACAGCTCTAAGCTGCTCATATCAGACCGCCGAAATCGATTGGGAGATGATATCATTGAGGCGTCAGAGTGCCTAAAGTCTTGGGCAGCAGAAGGGTTAGTGCTTTCAGAGGAGGTGTCGGATATCTCACAGATGGAACTCATGCTACGAGATCTTGAACTGCAGGTCACTACAACTATATAGCTAGCTAGATTGTCTATTATCAACTGTACCTGAAATGAATGACTCTATTATTACCCAAAACACTAGAGGCCCGTGGGCTTAACCACAGTCTGTGGTCTTGAACACCCGGGTAATGTCCGTCCTCGTCAACTGTCAAAGACGGACGGCGCTGATAGTCCGGTCCGGTCCTCAGCTCAAGACGGACGGACTGCCCCGTTGCGAACACTGGCTCAGCCTCGACCTGCGCCATATAAGGCAGACTAACCTTCGATTCTAATTTTCCTAGACTTTGGCCAGTGCTCGACCAGCACCATACTCGATAGGCTTTTCTTATGTTCTATCGCCGATTTCGTATAATCTTTCTGCTCGACCGGCACCCTCTTCGGGCAGGCTTTCGTATGTCCTATCTCCTATGTCCTAGAACGCGCTTGCTCGGCCGGTACTAATTGAAAGGTAGGCTTCATGTTCCATCAAAGAACACCAGATAGGCCGGCACGCTAGAAGGTGGGCTCTCCTTACTTTCCATTTCCTAGAAACCATCTCTATCTTGGATCTTTAGCTCGACCGGCGTCCTCGGGCGTAGCCTTTCTTCCTCTTTTGTTGCGTCTCTTCCGACCTCAGCTCGACCGGTGCCTCCATAAAGGTAGGCCGTCTTCTCCTTTCTTACTGATATCTCATTCCCTATAATTTTCCTATTTCATGGAACACCCCTGCTCGACCGGGATCCTCGTGGGGTAGGCTTGCCTTATATCCCTTTTCCTAGAACTACTTTCCTCCACCGGAGTCCATAAAAGGACAGGCGTTCCTAGATCAACATTTCTCGACCGGCACCTTAACAAGGCAGGGTTTACCTCGATCTTAATATTGCTATAGATCAGTCAATACCCGCCCCCTACCCTACTAGGCAGGTGTTCGTGCTCTACCTTTCGTAGAACTCCTGCTCGACCGGCGCCTATCAGAAAGCAGGCTTTCTTTAGTTTCCCCAGAAATCTCCCATTTCCCAGAAGTCTCAATTTTCCTTTAGAACTCCAGCTCGGCGGGCATTTCCCAGGCAGGCCTCCCTACTCTATCCCAGAACTATCTTTCGAGCGGGACGCATAAAAGAGGGACTTTCCTTTCTTGCTAAAGATTAGATATTCGGCCCGAGGGGCGCATGGAAGAAGGCCAGCTTTCTCTACCTCCGATTTCTTATGATTATTCTCTTTACTAGAACCCCGGCTTTCCTCGGTCAGTGTTCAATAGGTCCTTATTAAACTTGGAAGGCAGGCTCTCTTCGCTCTCAGCTTTCCTCATCATCTGCTCGACCGGCACCCAGGACAAAGGGTAGGCATCGTTTCTACTTTGATATGTACCTTGCTATACTAGCCTAGCTGTAGACAGCGTTTGCAATGGGACGTCGGTTTAGTGGTACAAACCGGTTCAAAACTAAATAATAACGAGACAGTTAGTACAGTTTAAGCTTCAGGCGATGGTGGTTATGCTGAGACATGATGCGCCCTAAACCGATACAAACCAACAAACTAAATAGTGCGGAATATTATTTCTCCGCCGCCTCCGGTAGAACCTTCGACCCTCCGGAGCAACATTCAGCTCTGAAACACCCGCCAAGAACCCTAACCCACATACCGTTTAGTTAAATGGTATTACCGGTTTGACCATGTTGGAAGAGGTGGTGGAATAGTTAGTACTGCGATAATGGGTAATAGAACCCAGCCCAGCTATAGGCTGTGCACACAACACCGGACTCCACGAGCATTTCCGGCGCGCTTCACAAGCACCCACGCCGCCAAGCATCTAGTGATAACTGGTCTCTCAGCTCGCGACATGCTCTTTACTCAACGAGCTTCATGGCCATACGCCAAAGAAACCTTCTTTCCTGTTCTAGCCGTCTTCATCGTAGATAGCCTATGGTCCTTTCTGCCCGCGGCCCAACCCCACCCCCGTCCCTGTCATGGGCACCCCCGGCAGCCACCGCAACAAGAGACCCCTCCACGTTACCTGACATACTCCAGGTACCGTACGGCCGCTGCGCCGACACAGGGTGCAGTAGCAAGCACCGTACTGCTAACCGACGACGAGCGGAATTCAAATAGCTCGGAGGTGCGGGCGGGGATGTTTCAGACCTCCCCATTGGTTTTACGTTTAGTGTAGAGCGACGTGGTCGTTAACGGCGGGGAACTGGCGATGGTGGTAGAACCTGAAATTAAGGAGAGAGCAGGTGCTTGTGATGTTTGTTGTAGTTGTGAAGTTGATGGAGGGGTGTCGTGTAGCTTGTACGCTTCTCTTGGCGTCTTGGCGCCCGGCGGTGAAAGCATACATGCCGTCATGTCCGCATCAGCTACGGACTACAGGACAAGGAGAGATATGTAACTACCACGTCGAGTGTGGTTCAATGACCGTTTTCAAACATAGTAGCTGTCGGACAACGATTGCGCGATGGGAAAGCGATGGAAGTATATGTTGCTAATATACAGGCACAAGACAATCACCCAATCGCAAAAACCGCCGCTAATCAACTAGCCGATTTCGGAAACATGAGCGGATACTCCACTGCCCGCCCCGCGCTGCGACTGCACTGGCCGGCGGCTACCGCACCCGGGTTAGCAACGCATTGACCTTACTCCCTGTTCGATATCTTGACAGATAGTTGTGTCCGCTCAACATTCGGTTCCCGGAGGCTATAAATGATACGGGATAAAAAGTAGGGCGCAGCGATAACTAGGTAAGCAATGTATTCTCGCGCAATGGGCAGTATGCTCTGATCCGTTGATCAAGATATCGATTTGGTCAAGTGCATGACCAGCTCGTCACGTTTGATGGAGAAGGCGACCCGTCTTGAAGGCCGATATTCAGTTGGACGGTCTAACCTGTTGCTCAAGGTGCAAGCACACATCACGCCCGATCACCAAGACCCCCACCGATTGGTTGTAACTCTGGAGAAAGCAGATGCACATCCGATTGGGAAAACCAACAAATATAAATCTCAGATCCCGGTTCTCGAAGTAAGGAATATATCGAGATGACAATTTCATGTAATAATGGATGGTAGGAGGAGCCTGGACTCGAGTCTGGGGTGTGCGCCTGGGTGTCGGGCGTCGGTGCTCTCGGTCACGGTGTTCTGAGCTAATTGAACTCTCAATCGCTCTCAAAAAAGGTCGGGTATTTTGAGGTGCTTGGCCATCGGTCCAACCATAGGCGCACACTTGACTAAACCGACGTCTTGGTGGATAGGTTGGAACACAAGAGTCAATCTTCTCTTTATATCTTTCAGGACTCCATCGAATCTACTCCACCTACCCGGTCCCACGGCATATTTCCTTGCATCGATCTCACACTGACCAACCGGCACCGTCCTGGTCATTCTCAATCTCGTGACGGAGTGCAGTACCTGATTCGTCTTCTCGACCAGTACCCCCGGGGTAATCGTTCCCTTCTTCAGTATCTCACTCTGCTTGCCCACCACCTCCATTAGTATGCCTTTCTTCTTCTTTTCTCCACCGGCACCGTTGTATGGCTTGTAAAACACTTGGCCTGAGATACAACATCCACCAGTAATGGTTTCCACTTGCAGATCGATCAGGTAAGCTTCCTTCATCACGTCATATCCTTTCCTCAACAAATCTCGTTACTGGACAGTTTCTTTTACAACCCCCAGCGGCTGCTGGAGGGGTGCGCTTTCCTTCAAAAACCACTCCATCCCTCAGCGAGCGCGCCACCACGTCGCACTCGTGGAAGCCGCAATGACCTTTGTTCCACACACACACTCCCCACGCGTCCGCCCCGGAAGCTACTACGACCATCCCAGAACGCCAACTCACGCGCCTCTCGCTCTCAATCAACAGTCCTCCGCCGTGCAGAATGTACCAACACCCCTGCATGTGTATCGGACCTTGATGGCACCAGCGGGAGCGGGGCAGATGCTGTTTGGGATGGGAAAACCGACAGTTAGTCTGTCGTGCCACGTTCCGGGCTGGGGGGGGGGGGGGCACATGCATTTAATGCATTATCGCACTTATTTTCTCGACGCGGGGTTGCGATAACGGGAAGTTGGAAACTCTCTTTCCCCCGCGGGTCTGTTCTGTTCTCGTTGATGCTGCGTTTGATGTGTGGTTCCTTCGTGACCAACATCGGGGACTGTGATCGTAGTGGTGGATAGTGTTTGGAGTTGTGGTGGTCTGGGGGGGGGGGGGGGGGTGACGGGGTGAATTGCGTGGTGTAGTTCACCCCCGAAGCTAAAGGAGATAACTATAAAAGCACGCGCTCATCATCCATCCTTCGGCTCCTCAACCCAATCTTGTTTCTCTATCGCCACTTCCCTAACATACCAGTTCCCAGAGCCCACCTTCTACATCTCCTTCCACCCCACCACCACCACCACCACTACAGCGCCCAATAACCATGGTCCTCCTCCCCGGCTCCGTCGGACTTTCCTGCGGCGTCACCCAGCTCTGCCCGACCCTCTCTGGCAATGTCGCGACCTCTCTCACCCCCTGCGTGATCCCGTGGGGTATCAGCTTCTCAGCCGCCGTTGCCGACGCCTTCACTTTAAGCACCACCACCGGCAGCATCACCTTCGGCGCCGAGATCGGCGACCCAGTTGTACTCGGCCCCCAGGGCACTGCGACCTTCTTCAGCTCCGCCCCGCTGGTCCCGCTGGTAGGGTATTTATCTCCCCCCCTTCCAAGCAGGATAGAGCGCTAATGTGGTGGCAGCAGTGAGACGAGCGTGTTTGTGGGGCCCCTGCTGGGCGCGGGTACACCGGCGGTTGGAGTGGGGTTGGTCACAGCCGCGGGGGTAACGCGGGTGGTGAGTACGCCGGCGGCGAACGCGACGCTCTGTAGAATTTCGTATCTGGCAGTGAATGTGGGGTAGCGCGTGCGCGAGTGCGGAGGGGTATGTGCTGCTGTGGGCGGGTATGGAGGGTTGTAAGGGTAGCTACTAGCGAAGGTTTGTCTGGTGCTTTGATTGCTGGTGTGTGTTGGCCGTGAACCGAAAGGACGAAAAGGTTGGGGGAAAAACAATTGTTGGGGGGTTAAGCCTGCCCCCCCCCGGGGTCCCCGGCGGGTGGGGGTTTGAAACTGTGTACCCTACCGGTGCTTGCAAGTGACAGTGGCTTAGGTATGCCTAGTGTAAAGTCCCAAGCTATCGGGTTATGTGCAGTGGTGATCTATCGGAACTTGCTACCGTCAATACTGCCAGCAGGATCCGCTGGGAGTTGGGGTTATCGGGTGATGCTGATACTAGTAGAAGTCCGCACAGGTTTGATTAGGCTCTTTCTTGTTTTGCCTTTTGCGGTTGATAGCAAGTGTAGTACTACCAGACACTCATCTTGCAACAAAGGCTCTCAAGTCTAAGGTAGACAGGGCCAACATTCGCGAGAACTACTCGGGTGATAAAATATAAGTAAATGAGTTGAAAAAAAAAAAAAAAAAGACTCGGGTGACAAATCTTGATTCCTGCACGAGTGATGCCCCATGATCCCGGTGGCGGGTGAGTGGCCGTGACCACAAGATGGGTGATAGTTTGTGGCTCCGAAAGGCTTGACCAAGTGATAGTGTATGTATCAGGCATCGGGTGATAACCCGTGACGATGATGCGAGCGGGATGACCGTTCATGATTTGTGGCGGCGAGTCACCGAATCTTCCCCAAAAGACCAACTTCGCATACGGACTAGAGCACCGTATGTAGCAGATCGACGATGTTTAATTGGATCGTTTCGCTGTATGTTTACCACGGTCCCTCACTCGCTTGCTAAACTAGATAAAAGGTTCGGGTAGAAACACCTTACCGTTTCTGGTAACTCGGACAGCTGGCTTGTGATGAGATATATTCTATCAAGGTTACAACAGTGATGTAAAGGTTTAAATACCAAGTGTAGACAGCAGTGTCATCCGTCCTCGAAACCTGAAAGAACATTGAGCTAGTAATTTCTCTTTACTCTCAGAACTTGAACGAGAGACCCCCCCCCCCCAAGGCACGAATGCTGAGGTGACGTGTTGGTAGACTTTGATCGCACTTGGCACCTCCGGAAGCAGGAACGCCGATTTTTATTTTACTAGTGATTGAGCAACTGTCTTTTAAACACGTTTCTGCCCCCGTTCATCTCAATTTCTGTCTCCACCTGTACGCTTATCGTTCTTCAACTCGTCTCTCGAACTACCGAACCCTTACCCTTTACCTCGCTATTAATCATGCCACGCCTACGTCTTGGAAATTGATGCTATACTCCAGAGGGTTTTCCATCAACCTTTGCTAACTGCTAGAAGATTCCGTGGTAATGTTTGCTACTCTTCAGAAGGTTCTCTACCAATGTTTGCTACGTTCTAGACCTTTTCAGCTCAATTCAGCCACCCTAGAAGATTCTGTATCATTGTTTGCTATGTTCTAGGTCTTTCTAGGTCAAAAACTCTAACGCCTGGGCCTTTCCAGCCCAGCATTCCTACGTTCTAGGCCATCCGAGCCCGAGTTTGCTCCATTCTAGGCGATTCTTTGACGTTGTTTGCGACACCCTAGAAGATTCTCGAGCGATATTCTCGACCTTCTAGGCCTTTCTAGACCAGGTTTGCTATGTTCTAGGCCATTCAAGCCCATGTTTGCTACGCTCTAGAACGCTCTCTTCCAATGTTTGGTACGCTCTAGATAATTCTATACTAATATTTGCTAGATTCTAGACCTTTCGAGCCCAGGTTTGCTACCTTCTAGAAGCCTCTCTGATGATGTTTGCTACGTACTAGAAGATTCCGTAGCGATGTTTATTACGGTCTAGGCCTTCCCAGCCCATGTCTATTAACATTCTAAAGGCTTCTCTGCCTATGTTTGCTACTCCAGAAGATTCTTTTGGAGCGTCTCCTACGTTCGAGAACCTTCGAACACTAGAATTCGCCGCCTGGGAGGGCTAACCCCAGCTAGCCCTAATTCCAAAAGAATGCAATTTCCCATATCCCAGGGAGTGTATATACTGGGCTTCCCTCCCTCTCCCTCTTTCATTCCTCAGCTCTTCCTGGCCCAAAATCCTCACCAAAAAACAATTAGCCTGCGGTGGCGTCAGGTAAACTCGAACACCACTAACAGTTCTGAGCAACGAACACCCCCACAAACTACTCGAATGGTATGTAATGGTAGCTATTAATCCTCCCTTCCTTTGTTCGGATTTACTAACACCCGCATCGGGGAGATGGTCTGGTGACGGCATCCCTCGGTGAGGATTGAACGATTTGCTAATCTCTGAACTTGGAGGTGGTCTGGGAACGGCATCTCTTGGCGAAGTTTAACTCTTGGCTAATCTTCGAACTGGGAGGTTGACTGGTGACGGAACCTTTCAGGTCGATGAGCTGAAACTCTGCTAATCTTCGAACTGTGAGGTCGACTGGTGACGGGACCCTTCGGAACGTTTAGCTGAAATCACCTGGCATGGCCAACTAACCTTCGAGCTGGAGAGGTTGTCTGGTGACGGGACCCTCTGACTCGATGAGCTGAAACTGCTAGAACTCTCTGCTAATCTTCGAACTGGGGAGGCTCCGGTGACGACCGGAGCCCTCTGGGGCGATGAGCTTCTGGAACTCATGGAACTCTCTACTAATCATAGGACTCGTGGAACTCTCTACTAATCATAGAACTTGAGAACTGCTCGACCGGCGCCCGGGTGGGGTAGGCTTTCCTTCTTTCTCTACTAATCATAGGACTCGGAACTAATCATAGGGAACTAATCATAGAGCTCTAGGACTGCTCGACCGGCGCCCGGGTGGGGCAGGCTTTCTTTCATTTTCTGAATTTACTAACACCCGAGCTGGGGAGATCGTCTCGTAACGGGATCCCTCGGTGAGGTTTGAACGAACTGCTAATCTCTGAACTGGGAGGTGGTCTGGTGACGGCATCTCTTGGCGAGGTTGAACTCTTGGAACTACCTGGCATGGCCTATTACTAATCTTCGAGCTGAGAGGTCGTCTGGGAACGGGACCCTCCAGGACGCTGAGCTAATAGGGATCGGTTCACGGAACCCACTAATCTTCGAACTGGGGAGGTTGACTGGTGACGGAACCCCTCAGGTCGCTGAGCTGCTGGGAATTAAACGATCTGCTAATCTTCGAGCTGGGAGGTCGTCTGGGAACGGGATCTTCCAGGCCGCTGAGCTGAAACTCCGCTAATCTTCGAACTGGGGAGGTCGTCTGGTGACGGGACCCTCCAGGACGCTGAGCTAATAGGGATCGGTTCACGGAACCCACTAATCTTCGAACTGGGGAGGTTGACTGGTGACGGAACCCCTCAGGCCGCTGAGCTGATGGGAACTATCTGATCTGCTAATCTTCGAACTGGGGAGGTGCTGGCACCCCTCCAGCTAGATGAGAGTTAATACTAACCTTTTAAATTGAAATCTTTACTAATCTTCGCGCTGGGGAGGTGCTGGTAACGGCACCCTCCAGCCCGTTTAGCGTTAGGACGGATTTACTGGAACTACTAATCTTCGGGCTGGAGAGGTGCTGGTAACGGCATCCTCCAGCCCGTTTAGCGTTAGGTCGGATTCACTGTAGGTCTCTACTAATCGTCGAGCTGGAGAGGTGTTGGTGATGGCAACCTCCAGCTCGATTAGCCTTTGGACCCGCTTACTAACCGGTCGTCTGTCCTTTATTTTTAATGCCAATTTGTCTCCATATGTAAAGACTTGATATACCTTTTATTTCGTGGATAGCATTCCCATTTCCTTACGAGTTCACTAGTATAGGTGCAATTTCAACTCTATAATTCATCTATTTTTCAGTCTTGTAATATCTCCAAGTTCTCGGTTTCCATTGATAATATGCGTAGAGGTGTAGCTGAATTTCTCTAGGCTCATCCTGTAACTGTTCAACTATAACAGAAAACATAATATTCATACATTAAAATCATGAGACAAGTTAACACTTAATCGATTAATTTTCATCCAGTCAGTTCATGGGTAAAGCGGAAGCTAATTAACGTCTAGATCTATAGACGCATATCAATTCAATTGAATCAATACGTTTCGGGGGCTTCTGCTTTACATTTACAAGTGAACCATACAACCCAGTCGGATCCAGGAGCTGTTAATCCCAGACCCCCCGTGACTCATGCCCTCCTCCGGTCAAGAATGACCATACATTTCCCTCGTAGTAAACCCCCCTCCCACCCTCCATACCCAACTCAATCCCAGCCGCCGCTATGCGTAATTTCCACTCTAGCCTTTATCGAAGCTCCCAGCCATCTAGCCCGGCAAACCCCGCCGGAGGAGACCATTTGATATATTGACACTATTCTGTGGCCTCTGGATGTCCCTGTAAATAAGGTAAGAGCACTAATAGATTAACCACAATTTGCAGCTGGAGAAGGTATTCGAGCTATTACGGGAGTGGGTGTAAAGATACTGATAGAGTAGAATATACTCTGTTCGTTACGTTGTGTTTGGGAAAATGCCAATGCTAAGCGATAGTTCTGTAGCTTTTAAACTTGTAATATTGTAAACCGGATTCCGCTCGCTGAGTGACTGATGATGCCACTAAGACGAGGCGGAACCCTTCCCTATTTATACATATTGGAACCTATGCCAAGGCCCGCTTTCTAATACTAATGAGATAACGATAATAGAATAAGATAATCAACCCGAAGATAACCCCAATAGAAAAGCGCCCCCGCATAGTTCCGTTCCTCCATTCTAATTCCGACACGTAACCATAAACCCCGCAATTGCCAGTAACCGAGCTGTATCATGCTATTGTCCTAGAGCTACTTCCCTAAGTAGAATGGCCTGCAGCCATAAGCCCCGCTTCTATTTCGTTCCGGGTGAGACACCCAATAGTAAGCGTGCCCTCACAACAGCCTAATACTAGTGTGGTTGCACCCGGTGCCCCCACACCCCTCGGTACCTTTCTATGCTTGTTCCCTCGTTACCCGACCGTACTCGCATCACAACCCATCACTCGTATTATCCTTATTCCTTGACTTAGGAGCAGTGTTCGTGTTTCCTGTAACACGTTGCTCAACACGAGAGCGTATGTACAAGCTATCACTCGGTCACCATACATCACTCGGCTCATCAGCCATCACTCGATCTTCTTATATCACTCGAATATCATGTCCGTAAGTTTTGATTGTTCTGACCGAACTAAGGTATTGACGCCTGAAATGTTTAATAGTTGTATCAAGGTGGTGATAATAAGATTTTTATAGATTCCGGCGATCCTTCTAGTTGTATTGGAGCATACTAGGTTGGTATTGCATCTTTATCGATCGAGTAATCAAGTCTTTCTTTCCTCAGGCTGAACTCGTTTAGAAGTAGAAAATTGTTATGATATAATCATTACTTTTCTATCGTGAAGGGAGGCCCTGTTCCTGTCGTTGGTGCCCCCTCTGGTAGAAATGGGTCAATTTCAGCACTAAACCTAACTCCCTCCAGCGCTTTTATTGGGGATGTGTCAGGTTATTATTTTGATAGGGTTACCTTTTAGAGCTCAAAATTAATCAAAGTGAGTGGGGATAGTAATCGGGAAATTATTGTTATCTTCGCCTTCCCCCACTTAATTAAGGAGTTGTACATGCCCCGAGAAGAACCTCTTACGCAGTCACATCAAACCAATCATATCTTTCAAGATCGACCAGGACGGCTGCACTATTCCAACAATGATCTCGATGCATTGATAGGACCTCTAACGCACCCATGAGCTGTGAACGACGTTGCAAGAGACCGCAAAATCATCTTAAGCGCTCCTATATCACCGAGTGATATACTACGACGCGCCCCCGGTTAAGGGACTCACCTCTTTTGAACGATCTGCTGGAATATCTTCTTTTTTTCTTCTTTACCCATTCAGACGTACTTGTAGTTAGACCCTTCTCTATCTATATCCCAAAGCCTAAATGGAACTTCTCATAAACATACTACTGAGTTTCTAGCTTTAACGGTCAGTGGACTGCTCGGACACCAAAGCAATCCTCAACTATACGTTCTATTTGGTAGTGATCCTCTTTCCACCTTCTAGATAATTTCTCGAGAGCTCTCGCGCTTCCCGCCAATGCGCGCGAAACAGGTCAAGCACGCCAAAAAAACGGCGCTTCCCATGCAGTTAGAGATGGATCAAGGACAGTGCGACTAGAAAAGCGTCAACGTCGGGGACCGAAATCTTCGTTTCGTAGCTAGATATCCTTCGTTTGGTCGCCTAAACATCGTTATCCCTTGACATCAATGATCACTTGAAACTCTATCTTTAACACCATAGAGCAGACTATGGCACCCACCACCGGTTTTCGTTCCCAAAACGTCTATGCAGTATTAGTACAACACCCTTCTAAAAACCCCATATCAGCACCCTAGGCAGCGGCAAAAACCTCAAACCACAAAGCTTTTATTATAAACCAACGCATGATACTCGATTCATCCTCTGCAGACCACGCGCACCCCCCCCCCCCCCCCTTCTTCGAGTGCACAGCCGGACGGCCCAACACCCACCATCCAAGAGTCAAGGTCAATGTCGCACCTTGCGGGCGAAATCCAGTTGATATACGTGATGTAGGTTGCTGTCTCCCCGCGAACACTACCTGTTTCCAGGACATTGTGTTACAAAGTGAGGATAGAAGAGATGTGGGGCATCAACCGAGCTGGGAAGTGGGGGGGGGGGTGCTTAAAGCCTCCGGAGGACGTGGTAGGTATTACCCATCCTACACCGTAGACGCCATGCGACCCACCACGTCCTCCGCGACGAGTGACCGCGTGTCGGTACTTATCTCACAGACGGGCGATAATGTACCACTGGCACCTCCGGCACCACCGGCCACCCCGGAACGATGAGGACGAAGACCGTCGCAAAGCATTGGCAGAGCGAAAGCGGGGCCCCCCCCCGGTGGTAGCCACCAAAGACCAATCACCGTCGACCCATCCCTTGAGGATCCCAATCAAATCCCATCCCCTATCACTCCCGCCCTTGGCCGTGTACGGCTGCAAACTGGCCCCATCTACTCTCTTTCGGTCGGGTTTATGTCATCTCAGGTGCCGTCCTTGCATGGTCAGAATACACAGCTACTCGAGCTGGATTCGGAAATAGATTGGCCGGATTCTCAGCCCCGCCTCGGCGTGGAATTATCACAGGAGCTATTGGGATATACCCAGGTTTAATCCACCCAGTATGGACCTCCGGCACTTCCGGGACCTTCTAATTCCCAGAGTTTTACCCACTACACAAGTGCTATCGCCAATAGTCAACAGGAATCTCGGCCACAATTCAGAATAAACATTAAGGGCTTCCCCGCCCCACTTGTTGGATATGACGCTAACTACCAGAAACTTGCAGACGCGGTGAAACAATACCTAACTTGGGGCTCGGACGGTTTCTTGCAGTACCGGGCTAACAACCAAACCAAATGGCTTGTGATCGATGACGACGCAGGTTGGAAAAAGCTGTGGATAGATATGGGGCGGTTGGGGCCACTCTCAGAGTTTCGAAGGAGTCGGATTTTATTTCACCTTCATCGGATAACGGTGACACCGAAGGCGAAGAAGAGTCCACTCAGCCATTGGCTTCCCACATCCACCTCCCTGCCCCCAACCAACCAAACCGTCCCCGATCCGCGCAAACCCCCAAGCTGGCTGATTGCAACAACCACCCCACCCCCCCAACCACCACACCAATCAATCAATGTCCACAGGTGGTGGATCATAAAGTATCACTCGCTAGCGACCCCCCTTCCTTCCTCGGCACATTGATTCTTGTAGCTAGCGGTTTGTACGTACAGTTACGCACGGTGATGCGGTGCGGCGGTAGACGGGTAGCCCACAAATACTACATGCAAGGGGGGGCTCTTTGTCCGGGATGTGCGATGCATGTCTCTGGCTAGTAGTCATCTTTGTCGATCGGGCCGCGAATAGTGCGAGACGAGACGAGACGGCGGGGATGCGCCGCAACTGGCACTGACCTCCTCCGGCCATGCATGCATTGCAGATGATCCGACCAGCTACACACAGAACGCGCTAGGTATAGCCTATGGAACATTTCATCTCTGCGGAGATGGACTATGTTGCGGGTTGGAAGAGGGTTAGCTGGCGAGGTAGTGACACCATTGATCCATCCCCCCCCCCCCCCCGGGTTGTGCGGGAGAGGCGTCAAGAGGGTAGATCGCGCCGGTAGATAGTGGATCCGGGAATGCATCCATCTCAGGCGCAACCTAACCATCTACCACTAGCTATCGTCTCCTACTTTGCAGCTGGGTCAGGTCAGAAATGTCATCGTGTGAAGGCTGAAAGTTATTGAAGTGACCCTAACCCTGCCCGGTTATATAGTCGGAAGAGCCAATGTAAGATTGGGGGAGGGGGGTGCGCCTTTGCTTGGGCGATTTGCGGGCGTGGGCGCTGGGGTATGTGGGGGAAATGGGTGGCGGCGCTGTAGCTGGGGGTGAGGTTGGTTCAAGCAAGGAACGGACTCGCTCGCCGGTTGATGCGTTATTGCATAGAGTATACCTAGGCTCGTCCCCAACCTCCCCTGCTTCCATCCTTCCATTGGGGGATGGGTACGAGACTAGCAGATACCGTGCATGTAAAACAATCGATCACCTCCTGTAGCACAGTACAAAGCTGCATTGCGAGAAACTTTCACTTCGTAAACGAAGCCACCCCCGCCCGGTGATCTGGCTGCCGCTGATTAAAGCCCACCGGAGCGCCACACAGAGGCGGAATCACAACGGTTCAAAACGACGCACCGGAATATAGTGTTAAATCGCCAGAACGACGACCACACCCACCAACAACTCAACAAAAGCATATGCCTACAGAACGAAAACACACGGCATAAAAGAACCGCCGCATCCCGCGCACACGCACACACACGACACACCACCGCCCCACACCCCACGGCATCACAGCTACACCACGGCCAAGCCACCACCATATCCGGCCTCGTCCCCGGCCCCACCGCAACAAAGACACACACGCAAAACACCGCAAAAAAAGCCCAAGAACGGCAGCCACCCACCACCCACCAGCCGCAGCAGCACGCCCGACAGCACGGCCACCACGAGCAATGGGTATGTCTCGCAAAGTGGTACGTACCCCGCGAGATAGAACACCGTCTGGAAGAGGGATGTCACGACGGTGAATTTTAGAATGGACCTTGCGATAGTGGCCTGGAGCATGCTGGCGGTGGTGGTGACTTTGCTGTGCTCTGTGGGTGCTGCGCGGTGGCACGGGGTGGGGGTGGGTGGGGTGGACATTGGGTTGGGTGCGGTAGATATTGGATAAGTGATAGACGGTGTGTAAGAGATAGTTAGCGGTGTAGGGGGGCAGCGGTGGTTATTTATACGCTGGTTTTTACGTGGTGGGGTATTTAAGAAGTGCTGTATTCAATTACATCATTGTGTCCGGGAACTAAAGGGGATACAAAGCCGAGCGCACGTGGGGGGGGGCTCATTCTGACGGTGTAGCCCCTCCACTGCTAGTGTATACCATGTTTGCTTACTTACCCGACCACTTCCGCCGGCACACAGCTCGGGCTATCTGTTCTCTCCATATATAACATACACAAGACTAGTTCCGGAAATAGCAGATGCCACAAGGTCACCAATTCCCCCCTCCCCCCCCAAGTCAGTCAGTCAGTCAGTCAGTATCTGAGATCCTCTCATACCGGGAAACGCAAACTGATAATAGCGAGGAAGAATTCACCCATACCCCCAAGCCTTCCTACCTTTCTCAGCCCCAAAACATCTCCGGCCAAGCCCTGAAACCAGTCCTAACAACCGCCACCCCGAACGACCACGCCCCAGAATCAGCGATGGAAGAATCGCGTATTATCACTCGATAGCGACTTCCTTTCCTCGACGCGCGCCTGACCCAACTGATGTATGAACCACCGACCCAACGACCTCGAGCGAGGCGTCGCGCCCCTATCGGAAGCAAGGTCGATCCCCACCAGTGGAGCTCGTCATAATTGGCTGTAACTAGTAAATCAAATTGCTATGTGTCGCGAAAGGGTAAAGATTGGAAATGAGGTTTTAAAATATGGTATTAACTAGCTGGAAAAAAAAAAATCGACGAATAACATATATATCCCAACCTCTCAACAACAAGATAACAAACGAACACACAAAGAAAAGGAAAAAAAAAAAAAGAAAAAACGATGCTTCCCCGCGCCCGCACCCACCACATACATGCACACCCGCAAGCCGTACCGCACCCTCTTCAATGACTTAAACAAAAAAAAAAAAAAGAAAAAAAAAAACCACACCCCCCCTCAACACCACGGCCAGGCCACTATCACCCCCCTCCTGGCCCCCGGCCCCACCGCAAAATAGACATACACGCAAAACGCAGCAAAAAGGCTCAAGAACGGCAACCACCCACCATCCACCATCTCCACTAGTGCCAGCAGCACGGCCGACACCACGGACACCCCCGTCCAGGGGAAGGACCTGCACAGTGGTACGTACCCTAGGAAATATAGCACCTCCTGGAAGATGGATGTCAGAGCGGCGAATAGTAGAATACGCCCAGCGACAGTGGCCTGGGGCGTTCTGGACGTGGGCTCGGCTTCACTATCGTCTGTGGGTGCTGGGACGGAGGGGGCGACAGGGCACGGGGTGGGGGTGGGGGTGGGGGTGGGGGTGGTCATTGTGGTGGGTAATTAAGAGATGGAGCGGTAGATATTGGATAAGTGATAGATCGCGGGTAAGAGATAGTTGTTAGTGGTGTAGGGGGGAGCGGCGGCTATTTATACCCTGGCTTTTGGTGGGGTATTTAAGACGTGCTGTATTCAATTATCGGATTCGGGAACTACAGAGAATACAATGCCGAGTGCATGTGGGGGGGAAACTCATTGTGATATCTGAAGATGGTTTTGTCCAGTAGAATATGTATGCCTTCCTCTGCAGACCTGGCACTCGGGGAGATAATTGTCGCCAAGCATGGAATAGTGGTGCGGGCAGTCAATAGAAAAAGACGGTTTAGCAATTGGTACTACCGAAATGCCGCACATGGGACGGGGAAGGATCTTATCTCATCTCCCTTCCCCCGGGTTTGTAGAATATCTTCGATTGTAGTGAATTATACTCTACCGCGTATTATCTGGGATATGTGGATGTTGATGACTAATCACCGGACACTTCTGTTTAGTCTTCGAAGGTTTTCAAACTCGAACGTGGCATGCAAACCTCTCCGATACACTGTGTACAAGCTCTCAGTAGACATTAATTTCACAGGCGACGGGAGCTGGGGTAGGCACTTGATACAGACCACTAACTACTCAGGGTCAGGGGCGGAATATAGGCAGAGTCAACGACTAGGAATTAAACCCAATATTTTCATCTCCAGGCATTGAGACGGAGATCTAGATGTACTGCACCTAGCCTAGGATATGGAACCACTATTGGTAAATTGGTAACGATAATCGATTGGCAACTTTAGCTGTACTTGTCGGATGAGATATCTTGGCACCCAGTACGAGTGATAGACTGTGGCCGGGACTTGCAGGGAATACTTCCAATCGCTCAAGGGGATAATACTATTGTCCTGTCTCCCACGTGAATCTGTATTTGTTTTTGCGGCAATCGGGCTTCTCGGTAGCTTCCGCATCAGCCTCATCATGCGCGAAATCTGCCAAGCTTCTTCACTCGGCAAATCTCTTGGCACTTGATTACGGATGTGGGATACGGACGGTTACACGGGAGTTTATAAAGAAGCGGGGGAAAGTGTATAGCTAAGTGATGTAGGAGTCCGGTGCTGGGATATTTATCATGTTTTCTCTCTCTCTTCAATAGCACTTCGTTTATCATCCTTTGTTTCTCCGTCAGACACAGGATACCATCACCACTTCCCTCCATCATTCATCTTCGTTCGTGAGAAATATTAGTGGAGAAGTACCGCCTATACATCTAAATTCAATCAATTGGAAGAAAATTTCTCGATACATGGAATTCAGCGTCTTGTGTCAAGTTATGGTATTTATCGACGGGGAGCAGTCGTGTGAGCACTCAAGACGGCGTTTTAAGAAAAAGGTGAGCGGAGATTCCACCTCGCCATGAATTCCGAAACCAGAGGGACACCGATGTAACCGTAGACTAACAGCTTCTTCTATTTCTATGGGCAGGATATCGCCTGGGTCGCTTCCGATCAATTTTGGAGCCATACCTGGGATGTTAATGTAGGCGACGCTTAGGCCTTGGCGCCAAGCCCTATAGCTGCCTGATTGTTTCCCCTCTTTTCCAAATCCACATCTCTCCTAGCTTAACAGCCTCATTTTTCGAGACAGAGCAAAAACCATCTACAGATCATGGCCGAATTCGTTGGTCTAGTTGCTAGTATTGTTGCCCTCACAGAGCTCACTGGAAAGGTCATTGGGCTGGGCTCTCGCTACATCTCGGGGGTGAAGAGCGCAGAGCAAGACATGAAAGCTCTCAACCTAGAGCTCGTGGCTTTGGCAAGGGTCCTCAAAACACTCCAAGATCAAGCAAACCGGAATTATAGTCTCGTCGAGCTTCGTGTACCAATCCAAGAATGCACCAAGCAGATGAGGGAACTTGAATTGCAGTTGCGGCCGAAGAAGAGAAGACTGATCAACCGATGGAAATGGCCCCTTAACGAGACACATACTTCTAAGGTTTTAGAATCCATCGAACGCAGCAAGAGTCTCTTTACGCTAGCGTTGACAGCCGAGCAGTTGTAAGTTTAGCTGCCTCATCCCCCAGTTACGTAATTGATATTAACTACTTTTAGTTATGTAACCCTCGCGGTCGAGGTTTATACCCGGAATGCGGACCGGAAACTTGACGATATCAAGTCCTCTCTCGCAGCAGAGCTCGCCATCGTAACTAAGCAAAGAGCTTTGGAAGAAGAGCGTCACAAGGGTAGGGCCTACTCATTCCTCAATTCTCTATATGCTACCCCTCAAAATGCTTACCCCCGTCAAAGTTAAGGAAAGGGCGGCAATCTTAGAGTGGCTCTACAATCATTCTTTCGATGATATGCATTGCCAAATCAGCAGTAGACGACATAAGCATACGGGACAATGGCTTTTCCGGGAACAAAAGTTCAGAAATTGGATTAAGGATCAACCAGACTTTAAATTACTATGGGGTTACGGAATACGTAAGTATTAAGCCGTCATCCTCCACGGATTGATCAGGAATGCAAATCTTAGTTTGTCCGACAAGGCTATACTATTATCGGACATTCATTCGCTAACCAGTTCTCGGTTTTAAACAGCGGGCGCGGGTAAGACCTTCATCAGGTATGATAATCTATACAGCTGAACCAATATCAAGACAGTTAATTGGAGAGAAACTACATAGCTCCTTAGTCATTGACACTCTGCAATCAACATCGCAACAGTCCTGCTCTGCCGTGGCATATATTTACTTTAATTACAACGAAAAAAACAAGCAGACGGTACCGAATGTGCTGAAAAGCCTCATCAAACAGCTTGCTCGTAAAGCGCCTCGAGTTCCTGACAAGCTTCAAACTCTGCATGAGGCATACAAAGAAACACAGGAGCGACCGAGCGTGAACGAGTTACAGCATGTCCTGGTTGCGGTCATAGAAACACTACCAAGAGTCTTCTTTGTTTTTGATGCTTTAGACGAATGTGATGAGACCAATAGATGCAAGGAATTTCTCCCGCTATTTCACCTTCTCGGTACTAGAGGTGCAAGTGTTTTCATAACAGGTCGACCGTATCCGCGAGATATGCAAGAGTCTCTAAACGCCAACTGCGTAACCCAGATTCAACTTCAGGCACACGAGGAAGACTTGCGAATGTACATAGAGCAGAAGATAGAGGATAGCATACATGCTAAGTACTTGATTCAAGGAGAACTACGAGAGGACATAGTTAAACGATTAGTGGGTTGTTGTAAGGGAATGTAAGTTGTCCACGCCATATCGTTTCTCTTCCATTCTGACCTGCACGTCAGGTTTCTACTAGTGCACCTCCATATCGAGGACCTCTGCAAGTATACATCAGTGAAACAGATACGAAGCGCTCTGGGTGAACTTGATTCTTCCTTGAGGCAGGAGGATGCATTAAATGGAATTTACAAACGTGCCCTAAGCGATATCGGGAAACAGCACAAGAGCAGACGTATCCTTGCTTTACGGACCCTAGCATGGCTTTCATGGGCCCCGGAAGTAGATAAGACCGAAGCCCTTTCTCTGGCGGTTGCGGTTGAGGACGGAATGGCTGATTGCGACGATATCGATAATGAAAGTTTACCGGATGTCACGATGATTCTGGAGGTTTGCAAAGGCCTGACAATCATGGATGAAAACACCAAACGGATCACTCTCGCGCATTACTCGGTCAAAGAATATCTTGTCGGAGACCCTGACTTCATTAGTCGGGCGGGTATTGCTATCATAAACACTTGCTTCACCATAGTAGGCCTCAAATCATTGCGTCATTATTACCAGATCCTCAGGTTTAAGCCAAATTGGGAGCTACCCTGGTTGCATGCAATTTACCATGTTCATGATCATATACGCACCTTTGATCGCAGCCTCACGCACGGGCCATACCTAAAGTTTTTAGATTCACCCACCTTCTCCATCTATTATAAAGCCTGCTGGTGTCTGGGGATCAATTTGGGTATCTACAAGCTTCCTTCTGCGCTCCAAAGATTCAGACCATCTTCCTTCCTACACGCAGTTAGTATTGGTCACGTGAGTGTCGTAAAACACTACATAAACCTAGGCGTCGATTTCTCAACTCCCACATCCAGCGGCAATACAGCACTATACATCGCAGCACTTGAAGGATATGAGGAGATAGTGCAGGTGTTACTAGAGAATCACGCAAACCCACATGCCAATGTGTCCTATGGCGAAACAGCGTTGCATGTAGCATCCAAGCAGGGGCATGTAGCAATACTAAGCCTATTGCTGGCTACGGGTGCGGATATAACTTTAGGGAACGGCGTGTCAGGGAATACACCGCTGCATGAAGCGGTTGAGAATGGGCGACTAGAGTCAGTTAGATTCCTGATTGATAAAGGTGCTGAAATATCGATCATGAACCAGCTTGGGAATACGCCTCTACATCAAGCCTCCTCACTTGGTTTACTGGATATTCTTGTCATTTTACTAAACAGGGGTGGGGACCCTTGGCGAAGAAATTACGACGGATCTACAGCATTCGAATTGGCTGTAGATCATGGCCATATTAACATTGTCCGTTATCTATACACTAAGCGCGGCCTATCGCTACGCCCTGGGGTTCCAGGGGCGCTGATGCTGCAGAGAATCTCGAAATGGTGCCCTCGGGCTCTCCATCCTCTGCTAATGTCAATAACAGACCCCGCAGCTCGTGGATGGGGGGGACATCCCCCACTCATCTATGCCGTCCGACACAGCTTCAGCGATGCAGTCGTACACCTACTGGAAAAAGGCGCGGATATATCTGTGAAGGATAAAAATGGAAACACCGTACTCCATCATGCCGCAGGGGACGCAGATATGTTTCGACTGCTATTGGATAAGGGTGCGGACATAGCCGTTGCCGGAAATACATTACTTCATCGGGCTACATACAAGGGTTATCTAGACGTCGTCCGTATTCTCCTTGAGAGGGGTAGTGACCCCTCTGCACCTGACTCTGCGGAGGACAGTCCTCTCCATATGGCCGCATCTCGAAACCATTCAGATTTGGTTACTTGCTTGCTGCAATTCGGTGCTGATCCGTCTGCGAAAAATGCTTCAGGGTACACGCCTCTGTATCATAGTGTGGTGAGAACACCTGACCCTTTTTTTCACGCACAAGTTGGTAACTTTAATATATATACCAGTTTACCTGCGCCGGACAAGACTTCGGGTATGGTAGAAGCAGAGATCTTTCTCAAATAGTTCATACTCTTCTCCCATACTGTGATGAACCCTCGATTCAAGACAAAAATGGAAATACAGTTCTTCATATTGCTGCAGACAAGGGTTGTCTGAACCTTGCGAATGCATTTCTAGAGAAAGGAGCTGATCCGTCTTTAAAGAACCTCAATGGAGAAACCCCTCTGCAGCTTGCGCTGCAGAATGGTCACGAGAGGATAGCTATTTCACTCATGAAGAGTGGTGCAAATTTATCATCCATAAACTCCGTTGGATCTACACCACTCACCATTGCCGCAGGAAAGGGAAGTCTGGAGGTAGTTCGTGCACTCCTCGCTGCGGGCTTAGAGGTCTCGGCAGTGGGAAATTATAGGAGAACAGCGCTACACAATGCAGTAATCGGAGGTCATCATGATGTGGTACTCAAACTACTCGAGGCTGGTACTGATTTGTCTGTACAAGACAAAGATGGGTTTACCCCTTTACACCACGCAATTATTGATTCGGATGTGGATATATTCTCCATACTAGTCAGAGGAGGTGCTGACCCATCACTAACACTACCGGGTGGGCGGGGAGGCATCCACATTGCCGTATTGGCAGGACGATTGGATGTGGTGGTTGAACTTCTCAGCCGTGGCGTAGATGCGTCATCACAAGATGATGACGGAAATACAGCACTCCATATTGCAATAGACTGTGGTCATCTCGAGATCGCGCGTATACTGGTGTATAAAGGTGCCGATGTCTCCATAGCGAACTTGGAAAACTATACAGCTCAGCACCTTGCACTGAACAGTGACCATATTGAGATCTTTGATATAATCTTTCCACACGGTGCTCGACCATTGGAGCTCACGAATGATGGCTTTACGGCTTTACACCTCTGCATACGGTTTCCTGAACGTGTGCAATCACTCTTAACGCAAGGCATTGACGCATCCTCCCGCTGCGCAGAGTTCCAGCGTACACCCCTTCACCTGGCTGTAGAAGAAAAGTGTTTAGAAACAGCTCGTATCCTACTTGACGAAGGATCCGAGCTGTCAGCAGTGAACGTTGGCGGCGAGACACCACTTCATCTAGCTTCAAGCAATATCCAAATGACACGGCTACTTTTAGACAGGGGCGCCGATGTGTCTGCGCGAGACAAACGTGGCCGGACACCATTACACCATGCAATATCAGCAGGTGTGGCTCTACTTCTATTAGAAAGAGGGGCGGACCCGTCATCACAGTCCCTAGGCGGTCATACTCCATTACACGACGCAGTAAATAGGGAAATACCAGAGCTTGTTCGTGTCTTATTGGAACGAGGGGCAAGTCCATCAGCACAGGCACGGGATGGCTGTACATCACTACACTATGGATTTTGTAGGTATGAAATAGCCAAACTTCTATTAGAAGGTGGAGCAGACCCCTCCTCTGGAGACTTATGTGGAATAACCCCACTTCACCTCATCGCTTTTGGTATTGGCCGGAAATTTACTTTCGTTTCAGCCAAGGACGATGGTGGCGGTGATGGTGGTGCTGAACAGCCCGATGTCTTCAAACACCAGTTCAACAAACATGAAGATCGGAATAGGGTAGCCAGGGTTCCAATTACGCTATTAGACGGTTCCGAGGGGTTTATTCAATACTGGATTGGCAACCGGTCTGAAAGAATACACCCAAATATACAGCTGGATGTGGTCATGCTACTCCTTGATTCTGGCGCCAATCCGTCAGGAAGATGTTCCTCCGGATGTACACCACTACACTTTGCCTCCCAATTTAACAAGGTTGATATTGTCCGTGCTCTTCTGGCTAAAGGTGCAGACCCATCCCTAGTTTGCGCCCATGATGAAACACCACTCTCGATTGCCATACGGTTCAAACGTAAGGACGTTGTTCGTGCTCTAGTGGAGAGTGGTGCAGAGGCCTTAAGGGCTGTAGAAAATCGTAGCAGCCTACTTTATGAAGCCATACAAGGTGGTCATGAAGGCTTGGCACGATTGTTGTTAGAGTCTGGCGTGGACATATGTGGAACAAACGATTACGGCTTAACGCCATTACATCTCGCTATACAGGCTAAAGACATTATTATAACCAACCTCCTTCTGCAACATGATGTCGATATCTCGGCGCGTAGTCCTTCCGGCTTATCACCACTTCATGCGGCAGCACATTCCTCTTCTGGGGTCCCCATGATATCAGCTCTCCTTAAAAAAGGCGCCGATATATCCGAACTTGATTCCGTTGGGATGACTGCTCTCTATCATGCCACACTTGCCGATAATATACGTGTATTCAACTTTTTGATAGAGTGCGGTGCTCATCCAGCTACAAATCTTCTGAGTCTAGAACCGGAGTCTTTTATGGCACGCCTTAAGACCTTATGGGAGATATTGAGCCTAGATATCTACGAACATCATAGTTTACTTGTGCAGGTCGGTATCAATCTTTCAGTGACCATGGACCGAGCTTCAGAAGACAGTGTACTCGAGCAACTCGAGAACATTTTCCTTTCCGCTTGAGGCGACAGCTCCCGATGATGACAGGATCGCGGTTGGTACAGGTGTCGGTAATCTCCACACTCGCAACTTGTCAATGTTGTCGTAACATACGTTTCTTATGTTGTTGCGAAGTGTGGGTCCTTCCCAATTCATGTTTCGTCAATCTCCTTTGTTTACGTGCTCTCATATAACTCATTTAAAGTCTGTTCAGTGCGAATCATCTCGAATTTTTTGTACACCAAAGAAGTGGCCGCGCAAACTGTAGCATAGTTCTTACTGGGTACCATATATAGGATCAGGCTGTTCTATGGGTAGATAATATCAATAGGGGTGACAGGCCACGATGCTATCTTCGCTTTGTCCTGCTTTTATTCTATTCGAGTCACCATTATGTACCATATGTACCTATTAGCACCCCCGGAAGTCTTACATCACTCTTTTTGCTATGATGTGCCATCATCTTTCAAAGCGCGGCAACTGAAGTTCCGAATTTCTTAAACCCTTGATAATTACACAATACTGGCATCTTGTACTAAAGAATGCGAAAATGGTGGCCTCTCCTACAGATATCATTGACATGACATGATTACGTCAGCCATGCTTCAACGAAGATACAGGTATTGTGACAAATGACCTCAAAATAAATGGGCACGAAGAATTTCAAGACGCTGTCGAAACAAAATCGCTTTACACTGCCTCAAGACCCTTTATCCGCGTCACGCTGTGTTTGGGTTGTGGGGGGGGCCGGAGGAAGATAAGATGATGTGCATGTTGCTAGCGCGCCAAGCGATCCGATCAGATTCGGTCTGCTATCTAATCTCGAGGGGCCGGTCGCTAAGATATTATCCACCATCTAATCTCATCGGATCATCTAGCTATGCTTGTGCTGCGACAGCACAGAACCCACAAGCACAATGTACTGTAAGGTACATATAGAGAAGAGATGTCTCGTTCTCTCGCTAGAGGGGATAGCGCATAAAGATACTCTGTCAACCTTATAGCAATTTCTTTTATATCAGTTCGTTCAAGCATTGTTGGGGCTTGTCCCATGCCAACCTTCTGCATGTGCTAATGGAATATTTCGGATATGCACCCACTGGCAACGACTCTGAGAAAAGCTATCGATCAGAAAAGGTGTTCGGTACATATCTTAGGTGGAGTTTTTCAGTCTGAGCTGGGCCCTGAAATCGTTCTGTTTTGGAGTCGGAGGCTTCGTGCATGTGCGTGTGATGTGGAACCACCGCAGACCTCAAAGAAGCCAAGTACCTGTACATTAAACATCTTTAGTTTTTTTTTTCATTCTCCGGAAACACTTAAATTGAGATCGCGCAAGGAGCGATCTCCACTGTTTTGTGCTCAAAAATACTTAGAAGAGCGTCGGAGTTCACTGTACAACAAGCTTGCGATATCTCAATCCAAAAACCTAGATTCTAATGACAAGATTGAAGGCTTAGAAAAGCGTGGTGGTGAGGCTGAGAGAGGCGCTAAGCGAAGTGAATGAGTTGTAGTTCGAGGAAGCGCGAGATTAGCACAGGTTAAGAGGCAGAAGACTCTCCTCTCCTCGTTTAGAATTACCACCAATAATTGTATCCAAGTCACAATTACAGATACTTCAAGCCTTGCCCACTTTTCCTTAAACTTGGGATGAATAGTGGGCGCGAGACAACACCTAACGAGATCTCGAGAGTATAGTTAACAAGTCTCTAGACTTTGCTTTGCAGGGAATTCCGGAAACTGTCTTATTTTGAGACGTAAGGATTTTAGTATTCCCGCCCACTTGATGTAGTCCTGCAATCCCGACTCGCACACGGAGTCCTCGAAATACAGACCCGGAGGTGCATCATGAGATATCACTCGCGTAGTGCCACCACCGCAGGATGGTTATCCCGCGAGCTGGGCCTTGGTTCTGCAGGCAATACTCCGACGTACAGCCTCGCAGGTAGCTGCAGATGTAACTATACTTTGGGCAACCTTTCCCGCGACTGTACCAGGTCGATTCGAGCTCTTTAGACGTAACCACCATCTCGGGGACACTTGACCGGTGGGTATAATACTAAATAGGTCTCTATCATGGAGCGCATATGCGACAGGAAGAGATAGACCCGTTGTCCCCTTTTCAGTGGTTGTGGATCTCGTGTCCTCGTGGCTTTACCGCTTGTGTACAGCCACCCGCTTGCCGCGCTGCGCTTGGCGTGCTTCCAGTCGCATTAATATTGTGGCAATTCGAGCTGTGGTTTGGCTTATTTGCGATGGGCGGCGGGCAAGAGGCTGGAAAAGGCGAGTGGCCCGTAGTTAAGAAGTCCGGTAACTTTCGTCTCGGGAAAGACACCCAATTATCCAATATTTCGGGATTCCAATGCTTCGGGATGAGTACCCAATCCAAACCAAATCTACATCTAACTCTCATCACGTCTCATCTCATCTTGTGCCGCACCCGGCACCACTTTCAGTACCAGCGAACGTGCAAGTGGCCCTGCACCTCCCAGGTCCTCTTCGCTGCAGCCCTTGAACCCCATCTGGCGGTGCATCATGAACTATCACTCGGAGACCCTCCTCCGCTGGGTGCCCGGGGCTTTTTTTTTTTTTTTTGTTTAATTCATTAATTTGGGTGCCGGGGTTGTTGTCCTGCGCGCAGGGTGGTAGATGGCTGGCGAGGCTTTTTTTAATTTTGGAGTGTGTTGCAGGTGTTTTGTTTTTTTGGTGGAGGTCGTGGATGGTGTACCGGAGGTTGTGGGGGAGATAATGATTTCGCAATTTATGGCAAGAAGATCGCCATGGAGATTAAGGTATCGACTCGCCATGCCTCGGTGGTGTCGGTGCTGGTTGGGAGTGCGTATAAGTCCGTTTGTCGACGACGGAGGTGCATCATGGGATATCACTCTGGGTATGAGAGCTGGTTGATTGGTGGCTTGGCTTGGGCATTATGGGTTATTGTGCGGTGCTGTGGTTGGCGGATAGTAGCCTGAGAGGTTTCTAGTGTCCCTGTAGCGGCGGCGAAGAGGAGATTGAGTGTTTTCCGTATAGCCTACCGTCGCCGGAAGGGTTCACGGTAGTGTCTATACGCGCAGACTCGTTATTAGCGGACACCTCAGTCCTCGGTGCGCCGCCTCACCCGTGGGCATCACCGGGGGGCAGTATATCTGAATCCTGACGAGCATCCTCTCCTCCGACCGCCCACCACCGACGCCCGCGAAGACTCGCTGCCATTACACCGAACTAGCCAATTCTACGTCACTGGCATCCATAGGGGGGTTTACGAGTCAACTAACCGCGATTGGTCTCGACTTCTCCAACTAGGTGGGGTGTGCTGGTTGGGACGCCGTAGAAAGCACGCTTAAAGAGTTGAATTCCATAGAATGGAGGTTCGATGAGTCATTCGACGCACCCCCACGACTGCCCTCGATGAGATCACTGTGAGCGCTGGGTGAGGGGCGGTGGCTCGACTTTGTCGTGCTCGGGAGGTCGGAGGACAAGGGAATACTTCTGGGTGCGCGAGGGGTAATGGTGCGAGTGAGATGTCGTGATGCACCCCCGGGGGGAAGGATGGGGATGAGTGTGCGGCTGATTGGATGATGGGCGGGATCTACGATACCCCGGAAGGCGCAGCTGCGAGAAAAGACACCCTGGTAAGACACCACAACCACGGCACAGCGACATCTCACCACAACACACCACATCACGTCAGAATCATCTTTACCATCACATCACGCACATCACAATCACTACGACGGAACTACGAATGTTACAAGAAAGGAGCGATTGATTAAACTACCCTGCGCCCTACAGGCAAACTTACAACAACCCCCGTTTCTATTCTCCCTTTAATCCAATTCCCCACCCCATCCCACATCCCCATCGCCAATCCCCCCCCATGCTCCATCTAAATCCAACTCGCCAACGCCAACGCCGTCCTCGCCCCATTCATGCACACCACAATCCCGCCCATGCGTTCCCTAATTCTCAACGCCCGCGCCCGATCCCCCATCCGCACACACTCATGGAACTCAGCCTCGAGCGCGTCAAACGTGTTGTTCAGGTCGACCATGTGGTGCAGCAGGATGCTATGCTTCATCGTCGCCGGCGAGACGGGGCGAGCAGCAGTGGTGGTTGTAGTGCGGGAAGGCGAGGGAGTGTCCGAGGTGTCGGAGCCGTCAGAGTCGCCGGACATGGACGCGTCGTCTTCGTAGGTAGAGCCGGCATCGGAGCACGATGAGGGGGACGGAGACATGAACTCGTCGTCGGTGGTCTCCGGGTCGGAGATGAACTTCGGGTCAGTGATAGTCTCGTCGTCGCTCGCCATAGCCTCCTCATAAGAGTTAACGGCATCGTCGATGGTCATGTCGCTATCTCCGTCGGGCTCATGATGCGCGGAATGGGTGGACTCGGGAGAAGAGAGAACCCCTACAGCCTCCACAGCATGGGCAGTCTCCTCGACAGTGATGCTAGCAGCGGAGGTATTGGAGGTAGTCATATCGCTCTCCTCCTGGTCGGACAAACAATCAGTGGAATCCACAGACTCGGCAGCGTGCACGACCTCTACGGCATATAGAATCCCTGTCATTTCTGCGGCTTTGACAGCCCGCTTGAAAATGATGGGGGTAGGTGGTGGGGTGTTATCGGTGGTGTCGGTATCTTCGCCGTGGTTGTTGCAGACAGACTCCGTAGCCCGAACAGACTCATCGCCAGACTGAGAAACGTGGACACCGTAAAAGGCCTCCGCGAGGATAGTGCTAACTGCAGTTTCAAGGATGGTATCTTCGGTGGTCATGTCGACATCCTCGTTGTTGGACACAGACTCGGCATTGGAAACCGAATCCACGGCAGAAATAACCTCCAGAGGAATAGTCGAAGTGGTGACAGTACCAGCAGACAGAGCTTGGACAGCTTTGCAAGCTTCGACTGCATTCACAGTCTGCAAAGAACTCTCGGAATCCGCAGATCCCGCCGAATCCGCAATCTCCACACCCCCAGCAGCACGAGGAGCGTCAAGAAAGCTCCACTGATGCGCACCTCCACCCACTGCCGCGGAGGGAACTTCGTCGATAGTCATGTCGATATCTTCATTGTTCGACAAACTCCGCGCTCTCGAAGTCCCCACATACACCACGCTTAGCACAGAATCCTCAGAGGCCGCAGATCCCACCGAATCCGCAATCTCCCTATTCCCAGCAGCGCGAGGAGCGTCAAGAAAGTTCCATTGACTAATATCGCGACTCACGGCTGCAATGGGAGCCTCATCGGTGGTCATGGTGACGTCTTCGTCGTTGGAGACCGCTTGCTCTTTAGAGACAGCCTGCCCTTCGGAGATAGCTTGGTCGTTGGACTTAGCCGGAGTCTGTACTTTGGAAGATTCCACATACACCACACTGAGAACCGAATCCTCAGTGTCCGCAGAGCCCACTGAATCTGCGATCTCTATGGCCCCCCCAGTACGGGTGGCTGCCACAGTGGCTTCGATGACGCTCCACTCACCCGCACCCGCACCCGCACCCGCGCCTGCGCCCGCACTCGTAGTCGTACTCGCACTCGCGCTACGCCCCCTCCTATTCCCATTATTATTCCCAGGCCCAGGGCCAGGCGCAGGTACAGTATAAGAACCCCCAGAGTCCTGCTCCACCCTCACCCGCGCACGCTCCGCTTTCTTCGCCTTGAGGCCCTCCCAGTGGTGGATTGCGGCCGCGTTGACGTTGGATTTGAGTTCCTTTCTGCACATTAGCACAGATTAGTTTAACTGGGGGGGGGGGAGGGGAGAAACAAACCCAAGTCGGCCGCCACAACGTGCCCGTCCTCGGGTCACAGCCGGCCCATTGGATGCGGTAGGAGGTGAAGGTCTCGGAGAGGATGCACTTTACGGGCCAGGGCTTGGTGATCCAGGTGCTGGGAATGGAGAGGGGCGGGGTTGGGTGCTGGTTGGGCATGGGTGTGGTTGTGCGTGTTGTTGTTATATCGTGATTTGTTATGGAGAAGGGTTGTGGAGAAGGGTTGTGGTTGTGGTTGTGGTTATAGGAGGGGGCGAGAGTTATATGGTGGTTTGGTTGTGTAATTATGGTTGTGGTTGCGGTTGCGGTTGTGGTTGTGAGATTTAACCAACTAGTTCGGAATGAGTGTTCGTGGAAGAGACAGCTAGAGAGGGGAGGAGGGAGCTGGGTATTTATACCTCCACCCCACCAAGCACCAAGCATTTCGGGGCTTGGCACTTGGGTGTGGCCGGTTAGTGCCCTGTGGGTGGTGTGTTGAGTAATTTTGGTGGGTGCTAAAGCTTAGTTGGCGGGCAGTTGGACGTTTTGGTGTGTCAGTGGTTGTAAATGAGAGTGGATGGATAAGGCAGGGGAGGTGGGAGAGTTTGGGGGGGGGGAGGGGTGGGTGTTGGTGAGGATTGTAGAGCGTTGGAATGAGAGTGAAGAAACGGTGGAGGGGTGGACAGGCATCTTAGGGTGTCACTCGATGTGGTTGTGCAGGATTTTGGTTGGTTGAACATTCCGCACTCTGACGTTTTCTTTACACTCTGGTAAGGCCGGGAACCTGACAATAGACAAGATTGATACTTGATAGCTGTTGATGAGGGGTACAACAGCAGCCATTCTATTCTGGGACAAGAAGATATGGAATGTGATCGATGGTTGGTAAGCCAGAGCTCACACTATCTGGGGCCGTCCCCGTGGTTCGGTCAGAGCACGAGGATGACCGGTTGGTTTGGAGAGGTCCAAGGGTCGAGTGCAGTGTTTGCAATAAGACGTAGGTTTCGTGATTGAGACTAGATAGTCATGAGACGGTTAGTGCAATTTGAGTTTCAGCTGCAGGATATGGCGTTTATACCCAGCCATGTTACACCGGAAATAGACACGAACCAACGAAGTAACTGGTACGTATTATCTCTCCGCACCTTCAAAGTAACTTTCAGCCCCTAAATAATCGCAGTGAACCCTAACCCGCATACCGGTTTGTATCACCGCTTCAACCATTTTGGAAGCGGTGCTTAGAAGGTGAGTACGTTTTGAAGGCTTTGCTGGTTCACATAATATAATACGATACTGGGTTGCACAATTTCCAGCACTGGTTGATTGTGATGAGTATATCGGCGTCCGTCCGTATGAATGAATGTTCGTGCATGGAAACTTAGTGTTTGTCGACTTGAACTAGAGCATCTCAAACAAACTACCGGTGTTTATTTGTGATAACATTAGGCTTTCTTTAGACGCCTGGCCTGGGATCCTTGTTGTAGGCCCGGGCCCATTGAAGCCCTAGATCTGACCGCTATAATACCGGAAATGGAGATAAATCGCGGACGGCAGCACGATCGTGAGACAGGTAATAATTGACAGATACCCTGGTGTTTCTTCAGGTCTTGCGCCTTCCCAAAAAGGTAATCATAGGAGGCTTCCTATATTGGTGGCGGCTTTCCGGAGATGTGCGTCAAAGGATACGCGTATCAATAGTAAACTGAATCCATAATAAACAAGAAATGCGTTGAGTTTAAAATACAATAGTTATAAATGATTGTTTAAAGTAAGCATTGTTTGGCCAAAAGTAAGTTCCATGAACTCGTACTCGGTAGTAACCCAGGATTTTTGGGGTGCGGCTTTGATGTGGAACACCCAATCTCTACCGTTAAACCTTATTTAAGTGAAAGACTTCATTTACACGCTTGAAAAAGCTCCCAGACATAAATCAAAAACCAACTGCGAATATGATCTTCCTAGATATGTATATATGGGATGTTGCTCGCAGGTTTCAATGGAGTCTTTAGATATAGAGTAGTCGAGTAGTTGAAGTTCATTGGCACCGTTAAAGCAGCTTTCTCGTGCTGCTCCATTTATTTGCTAGTGGAGGTTTGGCTCAAATGCATCCCCACAGACACCTTCATGGCATAGAGGGAGCTGGACTATGTGACAACAAGCGATCATTATTACATGTAGCTATGGTAGGCGGGGCGGCGATCATGGCCGTCTAGCTGTGCGAACACATGAAACGTTATTACCACGGCAACAGAAATAGGGGTGATATTCGTGCGGTGGTCTTGCATTATAGATACCGTCTTCTCAAGAATGATACATTCCCCAAGATGCCGATATAGGTCAGTCATCTCGAGAAGTAAGTCAGACAGGTGATACGCATTACAGGAAGAATGCCATTTGTCCAAACTCTCGTCTTCTAGAAAATGTCATTGCGCGAGCATAGTACGCAAGACTGCAGATGAATCGGCATTAGGTCTTTAATGCCGTCTTCTTAGGATTGCAGTAGCGCAACCATAGCGTGCAAGACTGCGGGATGAGCGGTATGGTGAAGAAGCTGGTAGCACGGTGGTAGGAGTACCGCATTCTATGTCACATTACCTAATTCGGAGTGCGGTAGGGGGTATCGAGGCACTGTTGAATGTAGAATAATATGTCTTGCTAGCTGAGGTAGTCGTCTTACCATCGCTCTACCGTATTTCTTCGATGATTATGTACTACAGAATACCAGACAGAGAGAGTCTGGCGACGGCATGCCATATAATGTCAGTTTTCTCCCTAACCGTTAGAATACTGATATGCTACTGTATTCTCCTCGAGGTTATATTCCTGAGAGTGTAGTTGGGCTACAAGATTACTATTTTATGCCCTCTCAATGCCGTAGAGCTATGGTCTGATGATCGAATCCACATTTATGATCATGTCACCTTCTCTAAATGTTTACTGGTACGAGATTGCTCATGCCATGCACAGTTGACCAGATCTTATCTAATCAATGATCATTTATTATGATACATACTCTACTCTAGATACAACACTCGCCAAAATTCTAATTACATAACCCTAAGCCTGATCTTGATCCCATCAAGGAAGGGGAAAGTGACAAGGAAAGCAAATATTAGAGTGAGGGAAAAAAAAAGGGGGGGGGGAAATCATCGCGACGAGAAAATCTTAGAACAAACTTGAGAGACGAGGGAAAATGATCGGGAAAGGGAACAACGAGTAAGCAAAGAAAAATGGGGAGTAGAGGAGCTGAAGGCGACAAGAGATCATAGAACAGAATGAATTACAAGAGGAGCAGGAACTAAACCTGTCGGTGATAAAATCCCATCAACAAGTATCTCAGGAAAGTATTTACTCTGGTGTAACTCTGCATGCATGGTGTAATTTGAATTGGTCCCCTGTGAATCTAGAATGGGATAGCACTGAGCACAGTATGGTCTGTAAGCTGTAAGAACGTACCTTCCAATCCCGTATTGTTTGTGTAAAATCTCTACTCCAAATACTTTTGCAGTTTATTCAGAGATTCTGCTTTATACACTAACGAGATTGCGCGATCATTAAATCTCTTTACGCGATATCGATACCTACCAGAGGCCACAAAATCGAACTGAACGTTTCCGCGTTGAAAGTCGGGACAAAGTAATATCTATATCCAAATTAATTGCGTGTTATGTGTTTTATTCCAAGAATTCTGGTTTTGTTGAGGCATAACGCCAATGAATGTGATTAGGAATGTTGTCACGATGACCTCTTCCCCAGTATCTAGCTGTAAATTTAGTGTTCAACGACCGGGTATTTTAACCTGCTGTTAAACTTAGTTTAAATGAGAAATAAGAATATAATTTACATAGTTATACCTATTTCGGTAATTACTGTGAATTATATCCTTTAGAACAGTTATATGTAATGTTTATCGTTTGAATTATATTTAATTCCACGCGGTTTCGAAACATATTAACTCCTATTAAAAGACCCACTAGTGAAAACTAGCTGTAATTGAAACCCCTTGCCGACTTTGTTGCTATTCACTGCTAGGCATTCCGTCATGCCCTTCTCGCTGCTCCCGGAAGGGCCTATCATTAAAACCAACATATTACCCACTTGAGTAAGACTGTCAACTTCGAACCCCACTGTGGTGATGTACATGCCGGTAATGCTGTGATATGCATTGTGGTACAAGCCAAAGCTCTTGAAGAACACTGAATAAGGAAGCGAGACACTCTTAGTGTACACTGGTGTTGACTCTGAACGCAGTGTCGGAAGCACACCATTGACGAAATTAGACAAGAGATAGGTACGAGTTAGTGTAATAAGCTCCGACTCCGTGATAATACGGTTCCTCCGATGTAAAGGTCAGGAGGAAAGGAATTCGATGCTGCCTTGGTAGACGATTCGGCGCACACAAACTTTAGGTAACTGCGGAAGAAGACTTTCTGACAGTATATCCACCGAGTCGTAATCTGTGAAATAAACCCAGTCTTTTGACAGTATCTCCGAAAAACCGATAATATCTCAAGTGCCCAAAAGAATGAGTTCAGGCAAGTCTGAGCACTGGGATGGGTAGGTGCTGCTGCCGGGCATATCTTCTTCAAGTTGTCTAACGTTATCTGGTATTGCAGAAGCAGGTAATTGTTTGGGGAAATGCCAATGCTAAGCGATAGTTCTGTAGCTTTTAAACTTGTAATATTGTAAACCGGATTCCGCTCGCTGAGTGACTGATGATGCCACTAAGACGAGGCAGAATCCTCCCTATTTATACATATTGGAACCTATGCCAAGGCCCGCTTTCTAATACTAAAGAGATAACGATAATAGAATAAGATAATCAACCCGAAGATAACCCCAGTAGAAAAGCGCCCCCGCATAGTTCCGTTCCTCCATTCTAATCTTAACACGTAACCATAAACCCCGCAATTGCCAGTAACCGAGCTGTATCATGCTATTGTCCTAGAGCTACTTCCCTAAGTAGAATGGCCTGCAGCCATAAGCCCCGCTTCTATTCCGTTCCGGGTGAGACACCCAATAGTAAGCGTGCCCTCACAACAGCCTAATACTAGTGTGGTTGCACCCGGTGCCCCCACACCCCTCGGTACCTTTCTATGCTGGTTCCCTCGTTACCCGACCGTACTCGCATCACAACCCATCACTCATATTATCCCTGTTCCTTGACTTAGGAGCAGTGTTCGTATTTCCTGTAACAGTAATAGACTGTTTACAATACCTGAATATATTTTACCCTCTGGTATTATGGGAACAGACATTACCGAGCTTCTTCAGTCAATTCCTACAACTTTGACTCGACCATATACGATATTCCCAGTGAAATCTCAAAATTTGATGCAATCCAAAGTAGTTAGGAGTACTTCGTTTCCCACCCTTGCAAGCTCTCCTGAAGTAGTGCATACGCTCTCCAGCCAGACATTACCATGGCAGGGTTGTATCTGTTATGTCCCAGCGACGAACGCTCCCCAGTCAGGAACGGTCGTGAATGGGATATCCTATTCACGAATGGGGTATGAATTTAGCCCCCCAATCATGAACGCGTTGTTATATCGGACAACACTGGTACTGAGAGTTAGCACCAGCCCAAGTGTCGGTCATGTTAATGCTGGTGTCGGCGTGAATGTCGGTATTGTCTTTGGCACCCGCTTGTTGAATCTCAAGTCACTGAGGAATTATCCAAACAAATACACTACATATATACTCAGATACATAATGGTGCTTGAGGAACCTCTTGTACTAGTCTAGACCCAATATACATGCATCCAAGGCTGGAACACAAGGTTTAAGTTGGTAGGCGCGGGTGTGGCGTTCCTGGCTGGGGGTTCTATCGGCGAACGCTCCGGTATACAATTGCGTTCCTGAATGGAGAGCGTTCGTCGCTGGGGTATAACATATCGGGTTGTTGATAATTAGACACATGCTGAAATGCGGAATCAATTTTAGATCATTGAGCCACAAACGGGAATACTCCGACTTATTGAAATAGTATGCCAACTTTAATGTTTCTGTTTTTGGAGGTGTCGAATTGGAAGAAATGTGTACTAAACAAGCTTTTATTTAGGATAAAGGGAACGTCTTCCGATCGTTTTCCTTTAGAGTCTTCATGGTATTCGGAAGCGAAGAGATACCACTAGGGGTTGTAAGCACCCAAACTTCCATCAACCCTTGATATTGGGACGTCGATAAATCGGAGGCTGTGACAAAGAGTATCATAGCCAAATGAATCTCATCAACAGGATTTGCAGAAGGTATATATGGCCCATCGGCTACTCGTTCAACAACAATAGCTGCCTCTCTTAAAACCTCAAACTGCCCTATCGCCGGTAATACCCCTGTAGTGGTTGTACTATACTGTCTGCCACCCCTACTGCTGGACATGGTTCAAGCGTAGCTGATTCATATCCCATAGTTGTATCCAGTTCTAACTCTTCCACTGATATTTCTTCAACCGCTTTAGTATTTTGTTTCTTCGGCGGCTCTCGATTTCCAACAGTCCTGTTATTCTCTTTGTCGCTGATGCTCTCCAGGTCCGGATCTTCATTATAATTTATTCCCATAATGTTGACAGATAGGGATGGCTGAAGCACAGACATCGGTGGCTGAATATCATGTTCGTGTGCTATTGGAACAGGATCCTGTACCTGATCGTCAACATCATCCTCGAAAATCTGCAATTGCTGGAACTGTGACAATAGGTTAATCGGCCTCCTATATATTCTCTGGATAGGCTGGCTGAGGCAGATGGACACCCAACTACACGATGAGTTTCTGAAGAACCACCGAGTTGGGTAGGCACTATCGGAATATACTATGAACTATCGTAAACAATCATGTAGCCCACTACAATAAATTCACATAGACGCTCAATAGGTGCATCGGGGAGGTCATCATTAATTCCCTTGTGTGTTATGGCTGATCTAGTCAACCTGATAATTCGGCTTGTCGGGGAAGATAAGGCAGTTCACAGGTCAAGAAAATAATATTCTCTAACAAACTGGATTATCCCCGGATTGACTGTCTTCCTGGGCTGATGGTCAATTCAGGAATCTGATAACATCGACTAGTAAATACCTGACTTGGTTGGGAAGTATAACCGACAAATCTCAAAGAGTATTTTCAGAGTCGGTATGTTAATAACTGCCATGGATACAAAGCCTCTACTATCAGTAAATGTTGATATCTACAGTAGAATCCCGATAGTAGCATACTCGATATAATTATAGTCTCGATTGTAGCGTATGATCGGGCAATCTCAAGAAATTTGCTAATGGAAAATTTGTATATCCCGGGAGTAATATATGCTAAATTCGGCAACAAAATATATGCTAATATGAATAGTATTAGCAGTCCCAGATGGCCACATACACAGTATAGGCAAATGCGTGAGGGTAAAAAACATTAATATTGAAGTATTTTAGGGTTTTTTTGAACAATCTAATTCAATATTTCCGCATTTTTGAACTTATACGATGTCACAAAAAGCCACCCTCCGTCCCCCTTTTTCTGCCCCTGCCACTTCTGGTCTCTCTTCTGTTACTGTCCGCCATACCTGGCCCCAAAAAGAAAAGTTAGAAATCCAAACCTACAGTAATCTACACCCTGATAGAACATGGAAACAGTTACAGCAACGGTTTGCAGATAACCATACGGAAAAGACAACATATCAGTCACAAATTAGTCGTTGGGAGAAAAGAGAGCCACCCGCGTCTAATGAGAAGTTTAGGCTAGAGCAAAAAATTCCTAAAAAAGGCCAAATTTCCCGAACTTGAAGCTGCATTATTTGAGTGGCATCAACAGATTTAGACTCGGATCAATATAACAGGCATAAGCCTACAGCATAAGGCCCAATTCTTTTTGGTCAATCTGCCGATGTATAAGGACCTGCCAGAGTCCGAAGAGCCAAAATGGTCAACGGGATAGCTATCAAAATTCAAGAAACGCTATGGTATTCGTGAGTTTATTCAGCGTAGGGAAGCTACATCTGCTACGGACATTTAGGACGTAGAGGAATCTATGCATGAGATACAGGAAATTCTTATGTATAAGGAGCAGAACTAGTTTACAACATGGATGAGACGGCATTGTTTTGGCAAATGACACCTGATATATATCTCACAACCGAGCAGCTTTCAGATTTCGAAATGAACAAAAATAGGACGACGGCTGCCTTGTGTGCAAATGTAGATGCTAGTGATAAATATCCCCCATAGTTTATAAGGAAGTCTCAAAATCCCTGAGCATTTAACCCACGTTAAGGTGCTATTCCTTTTACTCCGGATCACCTCTGAACATTAACCTATGGATCAAGGTATGTGGTATCAACCATCGCTCCTGAAAAATTCGTTTTTTTTTTGAACCTTCATTTTTCAGGTATTATACGAGCCTGGAATGCCTACTACTGATGCCACATGATCCTTTACCTTACCAAGTATCTAGACAAAGACTCTGCCTTGATTGAACCCCATAAATATATGAATTTGCTACATGCAATTTCCTAGGCCAAAAAGGCATGAAGGAAGGGAGTTAAGGAAATCACCATTCAGAATTGCTTCCTTAAGGTGAAGGTTAAGGTACATGGAATGGGACTACCTGATGCTGATAACCCACGCCTTCGATACCCAGCGAGAGAGATGAGAATAGAGATTAATAGGTTGGAGGATAAGTTAGAAGCAGTTTCAAGGGCCTTGGGTACTCATGATCCATTATTGATAGACCAGTTACTGGATCATGCAGATGAAATAGTGCAGGATGAGGAGCTTACTGAGCGGAAAATAGAGGTATTAACACCCTTCTATACTGTGCTGCCATCAAATAATAGTTAATTGAATTCTAGGACAGAATTATACAATAATATCATCAGGCTGAAGAAAGGGTTGAGGAGGAACTAGAGGATAGACCTGTTGAAGTTATATCCCGTAAATAGTCACTGGTGGCCCTAGAGTACCTCCATCTATATGGGGTTCAAAAGAGGATGAGGTCGCGGGGGCAGAGTGACTTAGAAGGGAAGAGAAATCAGCTATCCAAAGGGAATTGCAAGAGAATGGGAAGAAAAGAGAGAATCATTGAGGGATATTTTAGAAAAGTGTAAATATTCTTATATATCATCTATTCCATTCTCACTATAATCTGTAGGCCTCTAATGGCAATGGTTGTTGTGTTCGAAGCCATAATTGATCCACCTGCGACCTCCCTCGAACGCGATCATGAAATATCAATCGGTCATCTTGACGCCGAGCTTGACTCTCCAGGTGCCAAGCCTGCTTCACTAACAGCATATTCCCGATAGTGAGATGTCCTTTCTCATTCCCAAGCGTATACTATTATCCGCAATCCGCTGTATGTAGGTCAAAATACCTATTAAAAATTGGCGGATATGAAGGGTTGAAAGGCAGGCTAGTACGCTTCCTATATTCCAGTCACAAGAGATTGAGAGCTATGTTGATTAGCTTAAAGATACGATAGATAATGTGGCGATATTCCTGACTTGACCGTCAATACAGGGACACAGTCAATGAAGGGATAATCTAGTTTACCGGAGAATATTGTCCACTTGACCAGTAAATTGGCTTATCTCCCCCCGATAGACGGTATCAATAGCTGAACTAGAACTTGACTCACAATGTCCCGTCGTGGTTGATTGAGTTTGTGGATGAATTTTATGACTAGCAGCAGTAGCCTATAAGAGACTGGGATGATACGAAGGGAAGTACCTAGACAGAGATTCGCGTATCCCATTCCCGTACCCGATTCTGAATGCGCATGGGTGTATCATGAAGTACGCCTAAACTGCATATGCCTTATTCTAATCCCACTATCCTTATATGCACTCCTTATCCTCCAAATCTCTCATCCTCATCGTAATCCTCATTGTTATCTTAATCCTCACCCAAATTCTCATAATCCTGAATATCCTCTTCATTCTTGTATGGGTATCATCGTGCACTTTACAATTGATACTATTTTAATTGATACACTGGATATCAAGAAACATGACCAGAAGCAAGATGTGAAGAAGTACGAGCTATTCTGGATGGCGCATATCATCTGCAAGAACTCCCCCGGTGAAGCTTTGTAGCCACGACTTTTTACTCACTTCAAATATCCCTGGCGATACCAACAGAGTCAATCCCTCTGCTTCCAGGTGCAAAATCATGTATGCGGTCTTTAAAACCCTTGTGATCTACTCCACACCCCACAATCAGGTTTATTAATCTCAATTGCAGTACCATAGGAATGGCCAACCATCCCACGCTCGTTGAATTCGGCATGAAGAAGCTGGAACATTTATTGAGCTTATCGAGAACGGTTGGGAAATTGAGGTTACTGTTCGTGGAAAGCCCAATTTCTTCGTTTGGAATTTGGAGCGTTGCTACAGCGTGATGATTTACAGGGAGATTTTCCGAAGTATGTCGTCGATAGTTGTTGGGGACAATAAAATGAGTAGATCTCATAATAAGCATTTATTAATCAGTAATATCTTAATCCGTAAGAGTGTTGTTGGGTGGAGAATAAACAGTCTTCTCTATCTTCAATTTCAAATGTTATCGATTAGAGCTCCTGGAGCTGTTAATCCCTACCACTTTCGGTTAGACTATCCCATGTCAGAGCTTGACATGTAGTCTCTATCAGCTTAGCGAGTATACAACAGTAATCCAGAGAGCCCATCCTTTTTTTTTCCTCACTGGTCTCCCCTAAAGTCTAAATCTATCACTCTTCTCAACATCACTGTCAGCCATTATTTCATCTCCGTGCAGCAGTATCTTAACTCTACACTCGCTTAGTCATCATATATAGACTATGATGGGAAAAGGGCCGGATAAAACTCCTCGTCGGAATATTTCGCGATCCAACAAGAATACCGGGCTAAGAAATACACCTGTTAGTCCTCCAACACCCACTCTTATACGTTTACGTTTCCATATACCTAACAATCATGTCCAGACCCCCATCGTTACACCTGATCATGAATTCCAAACTCAGCCACTGCACTCTAGCAGCAGTAATCGCAGCAGTAACATTCACAACAGCAGCACTTGCAGCCATCGCAACCATTACAGTAAACAACTTAGCTGTATACCCCCGTACTATTCGGTACCCTGCAACAGCATTAGCAATTGTTACAAATGGAACAGCAGTTGCCGGCTAGCCAAATTCAGATTCAGTTTTTTGCCCTTGCTCAACATTTTGGGACATAGAGACAGCCTCCTACACCAACCCCCTATACCTCGCGTCAATAAGTGGAGCCTGAAGAATCTCAGGTGTTGATTGACACCAATGGAGATTCTGATACCTCCGAAGGCTACAAACTAGTTCTCTCGTATATGACAGAGGAAAATGTGGAGACGGAATACATGATCAAGGTATATAAACCTCGCTCACCATAGCATCTAGATTCCGATACTAACAATAACAACAACCCGAAGGGGCTTGAATTGCAAAAGGTAGAGGATGCTATAAACAAGGCTATAAATAAGGCTATATATGAGTAGCCAAAGACCAAATGGTGGCACGATAGCAATAGGCTTGATGACGAATTCAAGGATGTTGGTAAATCTTTCAACGATCTTTTCAGCAAATCCAACATGATCTTTGCTCGCTACTTTGGTATCCTCGATCAATGGATTCCACGGATGATCAATGATTCGGCTGATAGATTGATAAATATCTCATGGACTGGATATCTCAAATCATATAATCAGATACTTGCTTGGAGGAATAATCAGTTTAGCGAATTCTTTATTAACGTCGACGCGTTTCAGCGCCGTATTCAAAGTGACAACATGGGATTTACGGCACTTCCACTGGCAGACCTTGGATGTCTACATATTGAAATGGAGTTTTGCCGACTTCTACAGTCTTTGTGGCACCACTCATGCCATAATTGATTGGGGTGAAACCCTTCCCAACAAACCGATGTTGGCCTTGAATAAGACTATATTCATGTACAGTCTAGTGTACTCTCACAGATTATGCTATAATCTAGAAAGCTTTACGGGGGGGAAGCCTTTAATCGTGAAAGGACAAACGGTCCTGCGGAGGAGTATAAATTGTATGGAATTGAATGTTTAGTGTTATTACCACCGAAACTGCTAAGCAAGGTACGGTACAGGAAGTTAAAGAAGAGATGAGAAAGATGATATATTTGTCCCATCTGCCACCCCTGAACCCGTCGCTCTACCTGTCGCCATTGTTGCACTTGCTGCCACGTCCACACCAATAAATTTCGACCTCACCCCACTCCTGTCAGTAGCGCCCTTTCCGTCGATGAAAATGACAATGAAACTGAGCCGGGTGTGAATTAGTTTTCTTTTTTAACTTATTGTTTCTTATTTCTTCTTCTTCTTCTCTATTCTTTTATATACTATATTTGATTTTTTCATATCTTATATTATTGCATCGTTTTTACCATGGTTTTATATACGGGTTCATGTATTCTTTTTTCACACTGTAATGCTCAAGAATTCTTATGGGAGTACTATTTTTATCCAGCGGGCGTCTCTATATAGTACATACATATACATATGTTTATTTGGTGAGGTTAGATGGAGTGCAGCAACATATTATATCCATGTATCCGTATTCTGTACCGAGGGTTAATGTATTCGATAATGGTAAAGATGCACTTATACTCATTCCGGAGTTTCTTGCATTACATGTATGTTTCTCTATGTAAAGCCCGGCACTCCTACCCCATTCGGCCCAAATACTTTCACAGTATAGCAGCCCTCTCATATCAATAGGGATACGGTCGGGCTATGGCATTATAAACAGACTATCTTCTGTATTGATACCGTCGCCCTGCCACATTTTTATCAATTTGGTAGGCTGACCAGATTTAGGCGAATACTGGTTTGTGCGGCAGATCGTAGTGCAACCGCAGTAGAGCTCAATACTGTACCCTGTCGTTGTTCTAAAGTTTGAACATCAATGCGGTACCACTACGATCTTATTGCGGCTCTAAGCCCAAGTGATATTATTAGGTAAATGCTGCTTCTACAGAATATAGCACTAATACTAACTTCAAAACCAGTCAGTCGTGTACATAATCAATATTATATAAGATGTTCTCTTCTCGATAAGATGACACTACTGCCCTCTTCTACAAATAGAATCACGCTACCGTACCTTGAACACCCACTTTTTTGTTGCAGCCTGAATACAGTTTTGATATGATGTCCCTTACAATTCTTTTTCCGTGTAACTCCAGGCTAACATTCTGAATACTGTAGTTTGATGATTGGGCATCACTGGAATTAATTTATCAATATGGTGTTCCTTGGCTAACTGTGTAAATTCTATTAACGAATCATTAAAAACCAGGGCTGTCACAACAATAAATATTTCGAAAAAGAAAATAAAAATTTCAACACTACTACTTTAACCTCGAGGGGTTTTGCAAAAAAAATCTATTTCTGGCTGTATTATTACGGTATTCAGTCTACACCGATTTCCCGTATTTTTGTTTGCAATTACTATTCATTTGCCTTATTCATTTAAATTGCCTCTCGTCGTTCTTCCATTGACAAATACGCCCAAATTCACAAAGAAAGGTTGAGTCCCCGAATGTCATCTGTAAATTACTTCGGGCGTTATGGATCACAATCTCATTTGTAAGTCGTGGACATTGAAAAGCAAATAGGTTAAACTCTAGTGGCCACGTAATAAGACCTCCACCGCTTTTCGCACTTTTTAGATATTTGCTACAAGCACCATTGTCTTGGCAAAACGGACAGTATGCCCCAAGGCGGCATCTTCACATATTGGACTCTAGCCACACCCTCGGTACTACACTAGAATATATAGAGGGATAGTAGTAGGATCCTTTATCTCTTGAGATACTAATCTATACTTGAATCCTTTACACAAACCAGATTCCTGTAGATTATTCAACCTGTCGTTCATAAGTAACCACGGGTATGTAATCCTCCCAGTATATGGATTCTTCTGGAGGTTAATAAGATTTAGGAGATTAGGAGGAAATAAATTTCTTCTCTTGTCAGTTTTATTACATATCACACCTTTGATTTCATCAAAATTCCATTGTAGGAAGATATTCGTGGAAACGAAAGATGAGAATTCTCGTTGGTCGGCGATATACAATGTTCATTGTTCTGCTCTACCCCACATCCTCGGAAAGGCTGTCACTCCTCACCTGCCGCGTACATATTACAACTCTACACACAAACAAACTTAAAACAAATCGTTCAGAATAGCCGAACTTGCCGGACTTATTGCCAGTATTGCCGGGCTAATCCATATTACTTGGACAGTCGTAGGACTCAGCTATACCTACTTAGCTAAACTGAAAGATTTGTCATCAGGAGATCAAAAGCATCCATAGCGAGCTTTCGGCTCTACTTAGTGTATTGTCGATTCTGAAACAGCAGACGGACGACAATAAATCATCGGCTAAGCATCTTTTAGTTCTTGAAGTCCCGTTGGAGGAATGCAACCATGTGATAAAGGAGATCCAGATACAGTTGAAACCGAAGAGGAGTTTGCTCGGAAGGGCATTTCATCGGAGCCGATGGCCCTTGTTGGAAGGCCAACTCTCGGCAATCCTACTGAAGATTGAAAGGTATAAGAGTTTGTTTGGACTTGCAATTTCCGCCGAGCAACAGTAAGTTACCGTCGACCATCACTAGAAATCCAGCTGACAGCATGCTCTTAGCTACCTATCTACTGGAATCGAAGTCCTTGCTAGGAATACCGACATGAAGGTGCGCGATCTCTTGGATCGTGTTCAAGTCGAATTCACTGCTGCAGAGCAGGAGAGGAACAGAAAGATCGAATCTGGCCTAGGTGATCAACTATCCTCTATATCATAACCCTGGTGCTGACTGTCTATGTGGTTAAGCAAAAAGCCGAGCGAGGATCCTCAAATGGGTCTATAGAACACCCTTTGATGAGAGGCACCTTGAGATCAGTGGTAGGAGACAACTAGATACTGGGACCTTGCTTACTCTAAAACCCGAATTCCAATCTTGGGTAAAGGAGAATCCAGATTTTAAGATTTTGTGGGGAAATGGCATCCGTAAGTACCGTTGCCTTTTATTCGTAGTGTGTTTCAAAGTCATTTTGTTAACGCGAGTCTACTCAACAGCGGGTGCTGGAAAAACATTCCTCAGGTAGGCAATATTTATTAAGTACAGCGTCTATTATTCTTGAAGGTTGAAGCTGACTTCATCTCCATAGGTCAAGGGTGATTGACTACTTGACCAATAATATAACTTCCAGATTACCTGCAAATATTGGTGTCGCCTTCCTCTACTTCGATTATAAAGGGCGAGCAGAACAATCGCCCCCTCTGATACTTTGCAGTCTTATTCATCAATTGGCGTCCCAGCTGTCGTTAATTCCGGCACCTCTTGAATCGTTGTACAATGACCTTTCTCAAAAGAACAAATCCTTGAGCTCTGAACCTACTCCTGCTTACAAGCTCCTGCTGGAGATCCTGAAGATGTTCAAGAGGGTATATTTTGTTTTCGATGCCTTAGATGAGTGTGAAGAAGAAACTCAACGCCGAAATCTGATTCCCATGTTTCATGGGCTTGCAAGCTCAGGTGCAAGTGTATTCATAACCAGTCGGTCCTATCCACTTGATATAAATGAATCCTTCTCGGCCTCAACTGGCGCTGTATCTATCACCCTTGCGGCGCAGGAGGAAGATCTGAGGATCTATATCGAGCAGAAAATCAACGGCAATACACACGCTAGGAGGCTCATATCGCCTACGATCAAGGATAATATTATCCAAAAGTTGGTCGACTGTGCGAAGGGAATGTATATGATCACCGTTGCACAGGCTTACAGAGTGCCACTAATATTCTACAAAATAGGTTCCTGCTTGTGCATTTCTTTATCGAAGATATCTGCAAGCGAACGACTGTGAACGAGATAAAGCGATCTTTACAAGATCTAGATTCAACACTGGCAGAAGAAGATTCACTCCTTGGTATCTATCAAAGGGTAATGGATGACATAAAGAATGAGCACGAAAGCAGACGTAAACTAGCGCTTAAGTCGCTTTCATGGGCGGTTAAAGCTATTACACCCCTTTCTGTCCACGAATTCTGTCAAGCAGTCTCAATCAAAGAGCACCTTCAGGATATCGGCCCTGGAGATACCCCTGATATAAGTATGATACTGGAGGTATGCGAGGGTCTTTTACTGGTCGATTTGACGGATAAAAAGGTCAAGTTTGCACATTTCTCTGTGAACGAGTATCTTACAGACAAATGCAGCGCCATTCAGGACGCTTCGTGTTATAGGAAATACGAACACTGCTCCTAAGTCAAGGAATAAGGATAATATGAGTGATGGGTTGTGATGCGAGTACGGTCGGGTAACGAGGGAACAAGCATAGAAAGGTACCGAGGGGTGTGGGGGCACCGGGTGCAACCACACTAGTATTAGGCTGTTGTGAGGGCACGCTTACTATTGGGTGTCTCACCCGGAACGGAATAGAAGCGGGGCTTATGGCTGCAGGCCATTCTACTTAGGGAAGTAGCTCTAGGACAATAGCATGACACAGCTCGGTTACTGGCAATTGCGGGGTTCATGGTTACGTGTCAGAATTAGAATGGAGGAACGGAACTATGCGGGGGCGCTTTTCTATTGGGGTTATCTTCGGGTTGATTGTTATATTCTATTATCGTTATCTCATTAGTATTAGAAAGCGGGCCTTGGCATAGGTTCCAACATGTATAAATAGGGAGGGTTCTGCCTCGTCTTAGTGGCATCATCAGTCACTCAGCGAGCGGAATCCGGTTTACAATATTACAAGTTTAAAAGCTACAGAACTATCGCTTAGCATTGGCATTTCCCCAAACACTATATTGTACCTTATCCACTACGCTATTATTTTATCGATCGCATATTATCAACGTCCCGATAAGACAACTACTTGCTTAGACCAATACTTGAGAGTATTTTGTTTGTGGCGGATAGTCACCGTGCGCTCAAGTAAAAGAATAAGAAAGTAGTCTATTAGAAGGACTCTTTGATACCGTATGCATCCCCGAGTAGCAACAGCAGCTATCAACAACTTCACTTGCACCACCTCTTTTGTCGTTCGCAGAGGCAGTGCCGAACACCTCTATTGCGGATACCTTGAGTACGCCGGGTTTTTTGCCGAAGCAGGTACTACTTGCACGTTCGAAGAACACGACCCGGAGATCCTCAACTATCCCGAACTCTTCCCCATTAAAATCACCCTCAGTCAGCAATCCTACGGATTAGCTCACTCCGTCCCTTGGTTCGTCGCTCAACCCTGGTGTAGGAGACAGCCACAGCTCAGCATCGAGCAACTTAGCAATGTCAAGGGGTCATCAGCAACGATCGGAGGAAGACTACAACATGGAGAGCTCAATCACAGTGAGAGATCGAGGTATAGTCGAGACTCAGGCGAGACAGCGCCACAGGAGGGATCTGGACATGCCAATCAGCGACCTCTTCAGATCGACTCAGCCGGCCGCATCCTATGGCCAACCCCGCTCCCGCAGGCAAGGGGACTATCGAGATTATTCCCCATACAAAACGCCAATCAGAGAACGATCTTCTATTCCGAGGCCCTCGGGCCCCAGGGAAACGGACGAAGACGAGGATACGGATATGGACGTAGAGGAACGCCGGATCGAGCACCCCTTTGGAGAAATCATCGGGCAGGAAATCGAACGGAGAGGAGCCCCAGTGGTTCAACAGCTGAGCCGCGGACTTGGAGACCTCACTGTGAGCGTCCAAGACCTGCCCGCAATCAGGGAAATTACTCGGCAGCATGCGGCGCAGCTTACCCAGCAGCACGAAGAGCAGACCAGACTCATCCGCGAGTTGCAGATGAAGTTCAACCAGGACCAAGAAGAACGGGAGCGTCGCGAAGGGTTTATCCTCGCGCAAGTGTGAGCAGAGACAGCCGCAACCACTACGAACCTCGGTCAAGTCTTGGAACAGATCGCCACCACTACTAGGGCCCATCAACAGCGGCAGGAGGAGCAGGGCCAGCACATAACCATGCTGGCTGACTGGATTCAAAGACTGCCAAAAGATGGTCCAGCCCAAGTCCCAGAAGGCGTAGCAGCCACACTAGCACAATTGGAAAGGACCATGCAGCAGCAGGTCTCCTTGGTAGATGGGTTCTCCGGAACAAAGACGGCCTTAGAAGAAATGATGGAGCAGATGAAGGAAACAGCCCGTAAAGCGGCTGCGGAAAAACCACTGGCCCCAGAAACAGGTGGCGGCGGATCAGGACCACCTCCCCAACCACCCCCCCAGCCACCAGTCGCCCCTCCAGCTGGCTCCGAATCCAGTGAAGACCTCGAAGACCAAAGCCAACAAGGGAAGCAAGGAGGTCAAGGAGTACAAGGTGGAGGTAATGGGAATGGCAATAAGGGAGGTAACGCCCCGGAAGCACCCGGATCATCCCCATCGGATTCCTCAGATTCGGAAGGCGAACACCGTAAGCGGCTGGAATGTAGGAAACGAAGACATGAAAGGAGGCGCCAACGAGAGCAAGAACTCTCGCACCCCCCTCGTGCCACCGTAGGTGATGCACCCAAAAAGGCCAACATTCCCTTCTCCGGAAGAGCAGATCAAGACGTAAGACTCTGGATCGATCAGATGGAAATCCTAATCAGTCTCCAGAAGAAGGTCCAATGGGATAACGGCACTAAGATTATGTGGGCATCCCTCGAGTTTACCGGTAGTGCGGCAAACTTTTGGCGGAATTTCACGGAGAGGTTAGCTGTGGATAGCAGTATCGGAACCTGGGAACGGTTCAAGCAAGAACTCCGCACCCAATACGGCAACCGCACGAGTCAGGAAAAGGCCAAGCAAAAGATGGACAGACTCCGGCAAACTGGCCCAATCGATGACTACATCAACGAGATGCAGAACCTAGAATGGGACGCACGAGTTGGACCAGTTGTCATGAGATCCATGATCCTAACAGGAATAAACTCCTCGCTGGAACAACGGCTCTCCAATGCGATTGAGGAACCTAATGATTTCGTGGACTGGTTAGCCTGGGTACGGAAAGTCGGACGCAAGGACCACGAGGTGAAGGCTCGGAAAGAAATCCTGCGAGGAAAGGATACGGTGAAACCTCGCGAGGAAAAAACGGAACGGCGGAAATCGCGCAACAACGCAAATCCTCGGAAAACTTTTCCCGCATCAGCCAACAACTCCAAGATCTCGGATGACTTAGGTGTCACCAAAGAAGAGAAGGAGAAATGGCAGAAGGAAGGAAAGTGTTTCCGTTGTGGTAGAGATAACCACTTCGTAAAGGATTGCGTGGCGACGAGTAAGGTCAGGTTGACGAACCTGAAGAGAAAAGAACATCCTTCCGGGAGAAAGGACCAAGGAAGGGAGGGTGATAAGAAACGGAAATTGGGGCCACAAAATGAGGCATTCAGGGCAAGGATTACGAATTTGGAGGACTAAATTGATTGGGTATTTCTATTTATGCGGTGTTTTATTCTATGTTGTGTTACGGCTTTCATTCTGTTTGGAAAAAAGACTTTCTTAAGGGATCGGGTTATGTTATGTTCTATCGGTTTTGTTATTTCGCGCAATTTAAATTCTCTCTACACACACTTTGAGAAGCGGGGTCACATTCCGAAACGCCTGGTGCGTAAGTGTTGTACTATGATCTTCATCAACGCTCGAATTTTCTATATAAACTCCCTCGCCCCGCGCTCAGAACAAGAACCATCAACATAAACCCACTTTCAAAGAACAATCCGCCTTACCTTACACTTTCAAAAACATACAAACATGTCTTTACACAACCAAGAAACCCGCCTCGAGATTGAGATCTCTTGGAACCACCCCGCAACTAGTACCCAACATGCAGAAATAGTCAACGCACTCCTAGACAGCGGAACAGAGGACTGGGTTATGTCCTGGAACTGTATCCACCGTCTCAAGATCCCAACTCAACCTCGACCCAAGCCCCTTATCATCAGACAGGCTGACGGTACCCCTATGCCTAACTCCGGCACTCACATCACCCAATCTCTTACCCTCCGCGTCGGCAACCATCTAGACAGAGACATCGTCTGTGAGGTTGGCTCATTCGCAGGAGAAGACCTCGTCATACCACATCGATGGCTCAAGGAGCATCAACCCACCATACATTGGGGTCAGAACAAGGTCACCTTCGACAACATCAATTGTCAAGTGAAGGGATGCTTCAGGACCATGTATGATATATACGAAGAAGACCCAGAAGAGCTGGTCATCAGGCTGTTGAGGTCGTCACCCGAGACACAGATGATGATCGAGCAACACCCCTTCTGGGCAAGGGCATTGGTAGGCGAGGCTCTCGCTAGTGCTATACCGATGGAGTACCAGGACTTCGTCGATGTCTTCTCTAAGGAGGGAGCCGATCGACTACCTGATCACTCTGAATGGGACCATACCATTCCCCTTATGGAAGGAAAGCAGCCTCCATGGGGACCGATCTATGCGCTCTCCCCAGTGGAACAAAAGGCACTCCGGGAGTACTTGGACGAAATGCTAGCCTCTGGCAAAATAGTCCCCTCCACCAGCCCAGCAGCAGCACCGATCCTGTTCGTGAAAAAAGCCAATGGGAAACTGAGGTTATGCGTAGACTTTCGTGGCTTAAATGCTATCACAGTCAAGAATCGCTACCCCCTTCCCCTCATGACAGAGTTGGCCGATTCGACGAAAGGAGCGGAGTTCTTCACCAAGATAGACCTGAAAAATGGTTATAACTTGATTAGGATTGCTGCTGGCGAGGAATGGAAAACAGCTTTCAGAACGAAGTACGGCCACTTCGAATATAGGGTAATGCCTTTTGGCTTAACCAATGCGCCGGCGTCGTTCCAGGTCATGGTCAATACCATATTCAAGGATCTTTTAGATCAAGGCGTAGTAGTCTACTTGGATGATATTCTAATATATTCAAAGACTAAGGAAGAGCATACGACTCTTGTGAGAAAGGTATTGGAACGACTGCAGCAAAACCATCTATACGGGAACCTCGAGAAAACGGAATGGCACAAACAGGAGGTAGAATTCCTGGGATTCGTACTATCAGGGAAAGGGAACCAGGTCTCGCCTAAGAAGGTAAAGGCAATCACGGAATGGTTACCACCCACCAAGGTCAAGGAACTTCAATGTTTCCTCGGGTTCGCCAACTTCCTACGACGGTTCATCCACAGGTACTCCGAAGTTTGCCGACCAATGACTGATCTCTTGAAGAAAGGTTCCGTATGGCGATGGGGCAGTGAACAGCAAAGCGCTTTCGACG